TTCTATTCTATTCTATTCTATTCTATTCTATTCTATTCTATTCTATTTTAAAATCCCATTCCCTCCCTACTCCACTAACCTGCTTTCCAGCTCCGTTCTCCTATGCAGGGCAACCAAAGAAGACCCAGCCAATCAGCTGGGACTCCATGGGAGGCAGAGAAGAGATGGGGGCGGGGCCAGTCAGAGGTGGTTTTTTCCGGTTCTCTGAACTACTCAAAATTTCTGCTACCGGTTCTCCAGAACTGGTCAGAACCTGCTGAATATCACCTCTGGTGCAGGAGGAATTCCTCATGAAATGCCTACAGATAGTCCTTGATTTACAACCACAACGGAGCCCAAAATTTCTGTTGCTGAGAGAGACAGTTAAGTGCGTTTTGCCCCATTTTTGACCTTTCTTGTCACAGTTGTTAAGCGAATCTTGCAGCTGAATCTGCACTTGTTAAGTTAGGAATAAGTGAATTGGGCTGCCCCGTTGATTTTGTTTGTCAGAAGGTCGCAAAAGCGGATTACACGACGCTGGGACATTGCAACTGGCGTAAGTACATGCCAGAGGCCAAGTGTCAGAATTTTGATCACGTGACTATGGGGATGCTCCAATGGTCGTAAGTGTGAAAAACGGTCAAAAGTCACCTTTTTCAGGGCCTCTGCAACTTTGAATGGTCACTAAATGAACTATTGTAAGTCAAGGCCTACCTGTAATAATTACCTGAATTATCTACAACAGTGATGGCTAATCTTTTCATCATCGCTTGCCGAAAGTGCGTGTTTACGCTCCTGAACCCATAATGCAATATGCCCATGACCCCTCGCGCCCTGCGCATGCGACACCCCACCCCGTGCTGCAGGCTTCTGCATATGCACGTGTGACTTCCCCATACACAACCCCCCCTCCTGCCAATGCACGTGCATCTCCCCCACGCATGTGCGTAGATACCCAACAATCGGCTAATTGGCAGGGAGCGCATGTGCATTGGCAGTGGATCAGTTCCAGGCGACTAGCTCGCATGCTGCCAGAAATGGCTCTGCGTGCCACTCCCACCACGTGTGCCATAGGTTCCCCATCACGGATCTATATACTGCTTGGAACCATGCTATCTAGCATTCCCTGTTGCGGGTATCAAAGAAAAAAAACCTTCTGGAGATGTCTGATGGACCATGCCTGGCGGACTTTTAATGCCTATGGATCGGCCTTTGAGTTTTCACAATTTCTGAGCCAAGAGACGTATTTTAACTGAGGGGTATGCTGAGGACTACATTCCAAAAACTGGAACAAGAACAAATTGTAAGTTGGATTTAATTTGCATGTTCTGAGTGTACATCACTATTTGGTGCGTGCCTCCTGGTTAGCAAATCAGATGATGATATAAAAGCTAGGGACAGATGGAAACCAGCCTCCTTTGAAAAGGAGCGAGACAAACAACCATCACATAAGGCAGGGATGGGCAACTATAGCCCCTTTAAGAGCCGTGGACTTCAATTCCTGGGAGTTGAAGTCCACAGGTCGTACAGGGGCTATAGTTGCCCACCCCTGACATAAGGCATGAACAAAGGAGAAGCACAGAAGGATTTGAATATTATTTTGATACATAGCTTGCTTTTAGAAGCCCTAGCTTGCACTGAACAGCAGTCAATGCAACCACATTCCAGGCCCTTGTCAAACACTTTGCATTCTGACCTAGGCTTCCCAAGATCACGAAGCCGACTCCTCATCCCGATAAAACCCCTTTTATTTAGGCTAAATGGAATTCCTCTCCAGAAAAGTCCCAGCAAACAGTCTTTCAGGAGATTATACAACTACAGTCCTTCATCAGGCTTGGAGAGTTGCCAGGCCGATGTCTTCCAAATGCCAGGCTTTAGCAGCAATTAATTGGCAAGAAGTCAGGAACAGATCTTCACTCTAACGAATTGAACTAATTGTGTCCCGCAAACCCTACTCCCCTTTCACTCCTCTTTATTCCCTATGGGAGGGGCCATTCACCGCCCACCTGTGGCTTTACTCCCGAGTCGACCCTTGTTCCTTAAGTGTTTTCTTCTCCTGGCAGCTCTGCACATGCACACACTGGGAACAGGCTCCAGCTGTTCTTCTGCCCCACTGATCTCCGACTCCAAACGCAGCTGATAACTGTCAGGTGTCCCTGGCCCCATTTCTGCCTCTGACACAGAGCCCTCGTCAGATCCTTCCCCAGACTCCAGGGCTCGCCCATGTTCCTCCCCAACCTCCTCACTGTCCGATTCTACCACCAGCTCTGCTGGCCGCTGGCGGGCCACAACACAGGGTGCCATGTTCCATGGTCACATGACTGAAATTGGTGATGTTTTCTGCTGGTTTCCAGCAAAAAACCACATTATCTGGGAGAGCGGATTCAGACTTATGACTCTGTAATTCCCTTAACAACTGATGTAAAAAAAAAAATAATAAACCATTGGGTATGGCTATGTGGATGCCTCGAATTACGATTAAAATCCTGGTTCCAAGTAAGGTTTTAAGTTCAGGAATACCTGTACCTTTTTCGTCTTCATCTCAGATATACACTTGGAATGTGTGAAGTTGGACAAGCCCTCAATTTTTTTGTGTCCATTGGAGATGAAAACAATGAGAATGCAAACACACACAGACTCACAATCTCTCCATTGTTGCTTTTCCCAAAAGGAAGCACAGCAAAATATTCAGATAATTTAAAATAGATTGAAACATTGATGTAGAAGCGTGTTATATAGAGGAAGCTAAACATGCTGACTGGTCAATTGATGCTTCAGATTCTCTCTGGTGCTTGTCCTACGGTCTATATCACGATACAGAGATCAAGATTTATCCCCGAGATAGCCCCTTCTGCTTCAAATGTGATTTTTATATGCCATCGAAGAAGGATGGTATTTATTTTTGGAAAGAATCAGTGCTATGAAAAACAATATTTTTAAAATTACCCTGACCAGCACACCGAAACGCTAACTTAATGGTTGCAAAGCAATTGTTTCAGATGGCAGGAACTCTGGCCTCATTCCTGAAGGTTTGCCAAGTTCCCCATAATATTGTGTGTTGTGTTCTCCATTCAACCGGCAACCACATTTCAAGAGGGGAAAAATGCCCTTCAATCCTTCTAAGCCCCCCCAAAATAAACCAACCACATTATGATTTAGGGTTGCGTGCAAACCATTTTGAATGCACACTCAAATCCTACAGCTTTTCATGCAGAAGAAAGCACGATTTGGGGGGGGGAAATTGTCCACCAGGATTGAGCTTCACATGGAGAAGCAACTCTTTAAGGAGTTCCAAGATCCTACCAAAGAATTCAGATTTCACAGAGAAAAGTTTTGGTGATTTTGTTTTTGAGTGTTCACTCTTTAATATTTCCCTGGTGACCCTTAAGAGTAGGGGTCTCCAAACTTGGCAGCTTTGTGACTTGTGGACTTCTACTCCCAGAATTCCTCAGGCAGCCATGCTGGCTGAGGAATTCTGGGAGTTGAAGTCTTACAAGTTGTAAAGTGGCCAAAGTTGGAGCCCCCTGCCCTAAAGTTGACTTTCTTAGTCTTTGTCTTCAGCGTTGTTTTAAAACATGATTGTTATTAGAGAAAAACAGAAATACAGATTTGTTTGGAAGTGAAACTCACCTGGATGGGTAGCCCGCTGCACTGATACGGATGGTCTCCAACACTCCACAAGCTCTTAGTTGTTGCACTGCTCTCTTCGGATCAAAGCTGTCAAGACATAATTGATGGCCCTCATGAACATGGCTGTACAACACATTCAGATCCCTGTTTATTTATATCGTCTATGACTGTGATGGCGAACCTATGGCATGCGTGCCACAGGCGGCACACAGAGCCATTTGTGCAGGCACGCGAGCCCCCAGCCAAACTTACCTGCGGTGTGCATGCACACGCCTTCCAGCTGAGGCTTGAGGGAGGCCTCTGTAGTCTTGGGAGGCCGAAAAACAGCCCTTCTGGAAATACTGGAAGTCCCGATTTTCAGCCTCCAGGGGGCCTCTGGAGCCCAGTGGAGGCCATTTTCACCCTCCCAGAGGCTCAAGGGAAGCTTCTGCAGCTTTTGGAGGCTGAAAAACAGGCCCGTTTCGGCACTTCTGGTATTTCCGGAAGGCCCGTTTTTCGGCCTCCCGAGGCTGCAGAGGCTTCCTTTGAGCCTCTGGGAGGCCGAAAAAGGCCTCAAACAGGCTGAAAATCAGCTGGGAGGCACGCGCATGCGCAGTGCAGGTAAGGGGGTTGGGGGAGTTTTGCACGTGCATGCGCAGGGGGGGGCGGGACACATTGCATTGTGGGTGCCAGCACGCACGTGCTTTTTCAGCACACCACAAGAAAAAGGTTCACCATCCCTGGTCTATAAACTCAGTTCTAATCTTAAGAATAATCTTCCTAAACTTTAAAGACTTCAGTAAGCTTTGCACTGAAGTCTCAACATGCCTTTATTTATCAATAATTTATCAAGAAATAAAATATAAAAGATGAAAATAGAGGGAAAATGAGGGATGGAAAAGGAAAGAGGAGTGTAGGGCAAAGGAGCAAAAAGGGAGAAAAACACTGACTTCTGACACTTTTTAGAACAGCAGACTAAGATAGTAAGACCCTCAACATTTTATTTTTACATACTAATATATTCTAGCCATTTCTGTAATAAACTTATCTAATCAGCAAAATTCAAGGTTCCATTTTTCCCCATCTCAAGCACAAAATCAAGAAGCGATTTCCAAGTACAAGCAAACATGGATGTGTTCTTTTCTTTGACTAAAGCAAGCAATTTAGCCATCTCTGCTGGTTCCATCAGTTTTTCCACCCACTCATCTATTGCTGGAATTAAAGTTTTCCCCCATTTTTGTGAATAAAGCATGCTTGCCGCTATCAACGATATGTTACAGCAAAGTTCCAGATTTGTTTCTCTTCCAGATTCTTTTGTATTTAGTATCTCGATACACTTCATAAAATTATTGAATAATCAATATGCCTTGGAGGTAGCAGGTTGGAGGAGAATGCTGTTCAGTTTATACTAGTGCTTAATTAATGGCTTCTTGATGGAATTTCCAATTTCTACTTCACCTTCCCAGAAAAGGCTAATCCGAAGGGGAAATTCCTCATTCCTTTTTGGCTGTTCTTTCAGACATTCCTGAATAGTTTCTTCATCAGATTTGCGATTGCAGACAATAACACATCAGTATACCTGTCCTTTGTTTCTTGATCAGTGCACACCTGAGCCATGACGTGGCAGTGTGTCCAACGCAATTAATGCTGCTAGTTTCTGGGCAAGATCTATACATATTTTAATGTTGTATTTTAAATTTTATGCCGTATAGCAGGGGTCTCCAACCCCCGGTTTGCAGACTCGTACCAGTTTGCGGCCTGTTGGGAACTGGGTTGTGCAAGTGGCAGGCGAGTGCACAAAGCTTCACTTGACACATGCATGGGATGTCGGTTGTGTGTGCGAAACCATCTCTCTCCCACTGCTGGTCTGCAGAGCCAGAAAGGTTAAGGATCGCAGTCGTACAGTGTGCAGTCAGCCTTAGAAGCCATCTTTTACTTGGAAGCTTCAAGGCTGCCACATTCAGTGCCTGGGTATTTGGGAGAGGGGATGTCATGGTGAGGTAGAAGATTAGACATAACAACATTCTTTCTCAGAGAGTCAAGGACATGTTGCCCTGCACTTGGAGGAGAGTGACTGGAAGGATGTCTCCAGTTGGGATGAAGATTTGATTGGGCCATGTGATGGACTGATGGGTGCAGGGGATGAATCTTTGATTTTCTTTTGGGAAGGGAAAAGCTGGAACTCTTATATTCAGGTTTTCCCAGATGTGCCAATATGACAATTCTAAAAAAATGGAACTTTGAGGAAATGTGTGCCTCGGAGTTTATTGGGTTGGAGTTTGTTAGTTGGAACACTGACATTTGCCTTATTTTAAGTGTGATGCTTCTGACACGAATAAATAAACAATCAGATCTGATTTGTGAGGATCAGTTCCTTCTAAAACTTAAGAGACACTGCCTATCTAGCATGTGTCCTTTAAAATGGGAGTCTATAAAAAAGAAAATAAGGTAAATGAAAATTGCCACCCATAGGATGCGCCAAATTTTTAGGAGTATATCAAAATTGTAAATACACAAGAGCAAATGTGTAATGCATAATTCCAGATCTATGCAGGCGTATTCATCTGTGTCATTGGTTCAATTGCATAAATAACAATTCAGCAATTTTCCTTTCAGTGAACACCTGTCACTACGTAGCTTCCCAAAGCAATTGAATCAGAGGCCTCTTTTGAGAAGCTGCTGTCGTTTTAAAAGGACAGACGCCTTGCACTTGGAACACAGCAATTATTTTTTTATATAACTTTATTAAAAGAAACACAAAAGCAATTGTTCGGGAACATGTTTTACTGGGAGCAAAGGATATCAGATTTTGTTTTTTGGAACCATTGTAAACAGGGACTGGAAAATGTCACTATACGAGGCAAGAAAATTGAAATGCTCCTTTCAAAATCTGTGAAAGGCTAACCCATGGAAGACAACAAAGATTAATTGCTTATTGCCCTAAAAAACAGGATCAGATCAAATGAGATCAAGCAGACTGAGGGAGGTTGATAATCAAGCATTCTGACAATAAAATCAATTGTCTTGAATTGTCTCCTTTTTTTCTTTTTTGCTAGAGACCTTCAACCAATGTTGAAACTCAACCTGTGTTGGGGATGCTCTCGATGTCCAGCACAAAACAAGGGATTAATTAAACTGTTTTAGGTGGCCTCTGTGGTTCTTTTCAATGCCATGATTTCATATCCTTTTTATTGTGGATGAAGGTGAATATACGTGTCCCAGGATAATGTTGCAGGATCCAATCTGGGTCAGTTACCAGAGGTTTAGTCTTCTGAGTTTTTGGACTCATGCTGGACCCCGTCTTTAGCCGAGAGGCCAAAAGAGTGCTAGCCAACAACTTAATACCCAGCCATCCCCAATCAACTTCTAAAAAGCCACACACAACAAGCACCACATAAATAACCACAGGCAGAATAGCTCAGAAAAAGCACACACTCTGCTAGAGAGTAGTTCCCTGAGGATGGACTCCAGCATGAATTCGAACGCTCAGAAGACTAAACTTCCCAGATTACATCCTTTTCCTTGTGTTCTTAGAATGAAAAGTAGGAAGTAGTACATCATCCAGGTCTGAATATGTACTTAAATTTCTTTAATCAAGGAAGATTTAGGAGCACAAACATTTTTTTCATTAGCTTCCTATTGTTTCTTCTCTGTTGTGAGGTAAACCTGACATGTTTTCACTCAAATTATAGTTTAAATCTCAGGGAATGAGATTCTTTTTAGAGAGTCGTTAAGGCCACCTGGAGGTTGATGCTGCCGACAGAGATAAACCTCCAGGTGGCCTCAATGACTTTCTAAAAGAATGCAAATGACCAGCTGTCTGCAAGGAGTACAAATCTTTCCGTTCTTCACCATCCAGTCAGAGGTGAAGGAGCTTCTTGGATGAGAAGAGAAATGTCTCCAAAGAAAAACAAGGAAGTCCAATTGCCTCTTCCAATATCACTTAAAACAATTCAAGTATTCTTCCCAACGCATGAAGGAGGGGGTGTGGGAACAGCAGTCAGTCTAACTCTCTTGCTTCCTTCACTCTCATCACTGGCTGGCCTGCTGGAACTTGTAGTTCAACACAACTTTTTCCAGGTTGAGGGCTTGGTCTTGTACCACCATGAATATAATGCAACGAAATAGATACGATACGTAACAAAGCACAGCACAATATGCCTTCATGGACAATTGCTTTATATTTGTTGTATCTGTGGAAGTTGACACTGGAATACAAGTGGTCCATGAACTTGGCTGCAAAGGAGTGGATTTTACTCTACTAGTCATTACCAACTTTAGGGAGTGGTACTCATCTCATTTCAAGGTCACAGAGTCAGCGCTGTCTGAAGACATTTCCGTGGTCATGTGGCCGGCATGACATCACAGAGCGCTGTTACACAGCACTTGGCTGTGTATCCTTAGAAAAATAATAGCTGCGTTTGCACATTGTTTTACCATATTTGGCGTTAAAAGCTAAAGACAGTTTGCCACTGCATTTTCCAGGGACTTTTTTCAATTTCCAAGTTGAACCCACAGCTCAGGTGGTCTCAGACCCAAATTTAGCAAGAACTGAACGTGACTAGCTATCAAATCCACCCAAGGATGGTTAGGTACTGCAGTCTGCTGAATAAACTACAACGCTGTGGGACAGCACAACGAATGGAATCATTATGTAACTAAGGCGAAACCAAACAAAACAGCCGCCTGGGGAATTCTGGGAGTTGACGTCTTAAACACACATCTTAAAACTTGCTGAAAAGCACTTTTGGGGGGCTTATGATTATACCATGGTTGACATAACATACTAAGCAGCAAATATTTCACAGAATCAGCGCTGTGAGATAAGCAGCTGTATCAATCGTATGGATAAATAAGTACACTAAAGTTAAAACTGGCTAATTTTGGCCTCTTGCATAAAGTCACAAGGTTCATGACACTCCCAATTAAGAGTGCTGTGTAAAAGGCAGCTAAGGATTCATAAGGTACCCAATAAGTAGAGGTAGCCTGCGACTGTGATGACCCAGGGTGAGATACAAAACAAACACAGTCACAGAAAAAAGGTGAAGCCCCTTTTATGCCTTCACTTGGCTTCCAAGCTCTGAATATCCTTGACGGAAGCAAAAAAAAAAAAAAAAAACCTCCCACACAAACAGTTACAAAAAGAAGGGAAAAAGCAACACAAACCAGGCAAGATAAGGGCTGGAGGATATCCATAGATAATACACACTGGGAATGATGCTAAACTTAAGAGAGGAACTAGAGATATTTCCACGCTTTGTTTCCAGCATTCACCCATACATAGGTCCATACTCTTATTCAGTTGTCACAGCTGCAGCCCATGAAGAGGATCAAGGCCCTCTCCTCCCCAGTAGACCACCTCTCTCCCTTATCCTCTCCTCCCTGCGTGCCCTAGGATGAAGAGGGGATGGGCCTGGGTTCTCCTCTAACTGCTCAGCCGGCCTCTGCCCTTCCCCAGCCTCCTCCACAACCTCCGGAGCCACACTTCCACTCCCTGTCAGCTGTTCCTCCTCTCCCTCAGAGTCAGTCTCCACCAGGGGCATGACAGCGACTTACAATCACAATTGAGCCCCAGATTTGCTGTGGTTAAGTAATACAGTTGTGTGAGTTTTGTCCCATTTTGTGACCTTTCGCAGACCTTTCTTGTCAGGTTTGTTAAGTGAATCGCTGCAGCTGTTAAGTTAGCAATGTGTTTGTTAAGTGAATCTGGCTTCCCCGTTGACTTTGTTTGTTTACAAAAGGGGATCACATGACTCCGGGACACTGCAACCGCCATAAACTGGTGCGGGCTCAAAGATGTTAGCGACCTGTTTTCTGCCCGGTTGCTGGGTGGGCGTGGCTATGGTGGGCATGGCCTAGTTGGCCTCCTGCACCATGGCAAGGGGGCTGTTTTCGCCTTTCCCTGACTCCGGAGGCTTTCCTTGAGCTCTGGAAGTGAGAAAACATCCTCCCCAGGCTCCAGAGGCCCTTTGGAAACTGGAAACAGGCCCATTTCCGGCCTTCTGGAGCCTCTGGGAGGCTCGTTTTTCACCTTCCCCAAGCCTCTATGCAGGCCCTGTACTTACCTGGGATGCAAAACGGGCCATGTGGGGACTCCTAGGAAGGGTGGGGTGGGCGGGGCGAGCCAGGTGTCAGCTTTGGAAGCCATATTCCACGCTGCCACATAGCCTGAGAAAGTGGAAGCGGGGGTGATTTCAATTGAGTACCTCTAAGTAGACAAAATAAAATTCTCTTTAGTTAGTTTAAGGTCACTGAGCATGGCGCAGGATGAAATAAGGATCTTACTTTTGGACGGATCGTGATAGGCCATGTGATGTGATGACAGCCAAGTGGGGAGTGTGGGGGTGGATTTGTAGTTTGGGAAATTGTGGGAAGCCCCAAAAAACTTTTTGATTCGGGATTCCGCAGATGCGCCAGGTGCTATTCTAATAAAGGTACTTTTGAGATATGTTGGTCTCGGAGTTACCTACTGGAATGGAGGTTTGCTGGAACGCTGACACCAGGGGTGGGATATGCCGGTTCGCTGAACCGGCCATAAAATTAGCTACCATTTTGGTACAGGTTCACCCAAGCAGGGGCGAATTGGTAGCAGCCCACCCCTGGACCTAAATAGGAATCAATTGCCAAGCATCTGAATTTGGACCACGGGGATGCTACAATGGTCGTACGTGTGAAAAACAGATATCAGTCAGTTTTCGCAGTGCTGTTGTAACTTTGAACGATCACTAAACGAATTATTGTAAGTCAAGGACTAACTATTTTCGTGACAAAATCTTTTACAATCTCTTTGCCCCTTGTCTCTCAGCAAGCTATAGAACCTCCGGTCTCGTCAGAAAGCGATGCTTACGTGAAAGGCAGCTTCTCATCGTTGGGCTTGATACACCGAACATAATGAGGAGTGGTAGCATTCAGGGTCTCCATTAACAGGTGCAATGAATTACGAAACTGAAAGAGAGGCGGGGGGGGGAAAGGTAACTTTGCAGGAAGTGGAGGAATGTGACAAGGCTCGTTTTACTGGTAAGCACGGATGAAATGGCCAAGCAATTCACATTATTGCATTTTATGAGTTGCTTTGAATAATGAGACTGGCAGCTTATAAATTTAGTAATACGTAAATACATTTAAGAATTCCTAGGACAAATGCAGAATGACCGAGTTGGGAAGGGCCCTGGAGGTCTTCTAGCCCAACCCCTGCTCAAGCAGGAGACCCCATACCATTCCAGACAAATGGTTGTCCAGTCTCTTCTTAAAAATCTCCAGTGATTGGAGCAGACTGGGGAATTCTGGGAGTTGAAGTCCACGCATCATAAATCTGCTAAGGTTGAGAAACAGTGAGCTAAGCAGAGATTACTGTCAAACCAATGGATGGATGGATGGATGGATGGATGGATAGATGGATGGATGGATGGATAGATGGATGGATGGATGGATGGATGGATGGATGGATGAACCATTTCTTCTCCTCTCTTCCTGTTCATCTCCTGAATCAAGCCAGGAACCAGGCTGTGTTTGGAAGGTACTGTGTCTACCTATCCAATTGGCTCCTGCTAAAGATCTTTGGTTCACTAAACTCTTACTAAAGTAGCCATACCCAACATTCAGTAGAAACATTTTTCTCATTCTGATTTTGAGGTTGGGGAGGGAGTGGGGAATTGCAATACAGACAAAAACATATAAAGAACGGTTACAGGAATTGTGTATGGACAGTCTAGAGAAAAGAAGGACTAAGGGTGACATGTTAGTATTCCAGTATTTGATTTGAGGGGCTGCCCCAAAGAAGAGGGAGTCAAGCTATTCTCCAAAGCACCTGAAGGCAGGACAAAAAGCAATGGATGAAAACTAATCAAGGAGAGAAGCAACCTAGAACTAAGGAGAAATTTCCAGACTGTTAGAACAATTAACCAATAGAACAGCTTGCCTCCAGAAGTTGTGGGTGCTTCATTACTGGAGGTTTTTCAGAAAAGACCGGACAGCTACCTATCTGAAATGGCATAGGGTCTCCTGCTTGACCAGGGGGTTGGACTAGAAGACCTCCAAGGTACCTTCCAGCTCTATTCTGACTGATTGCAGGAAAGAAGCAATGTACTTCTATCCCAAGGTCCTAGGGAAAACAACTGAAAATATCTTCAACTTCGAATGAGCCCTTGTAAGGTTTTGCATGCTAATGGAATTTGCATCCTTTGAACTCTCCCCCAAAATGGTAAGATTGGAAGAAAGATATAATATATCCATTTTAGCACAGTTTTCCCCCCCATATGATCCAGTTTTGCATTTACTCCCTGGCAATTTTTATTGATAACATTATAATTTGGATGGGGGCCAGAAGTAAGCAGCCTACCAGAAAAAAAAACACAGAAACTGCCTTGAAAAAAAGACTGCATTGTACCTGGTGCCCTACTGTTTTCTTGTGTTCCTTATTGGCTGCTTTTACAGTTGGACGGGCCGAGCGGATATTGATTTTGGAGGAAGTTTTCTTTCCAGACGGAGCAGCTGGAGCAGAGTCTTTTTCATCATGGAACAACTCCACAATCACTGGGTACTAGAAAGAAGAAATAAAAAGTTGTTATCTTGCTTCAGGGGTCAAGCAACGAAGCATTTTCATTCTTAGCAAAGAAACATGGTGAAATCCACACCAAATGTCAGCAGCATCGATATCAATGAAAACCAACCACCTTTGTATATTCCAGAGGTCTCCAAACTTGGGAGGTCCTGGTATATTCCACAAAGTAACAAAGCCTCGTTGTATTGCTTGCTATTGTTTGTTTTATCATTTTTAATCTCTTGACAGCAGGCCCGGGGGAATATTAAAACATGAGAATCAGTCTGCTGGAGCCCGACTAAGCCCATCTAACCACCATTCTAACTGACATGGTGGTCTCTATATCTAGGAAGCCCCAAAATAGAACCCTCTTTCCAATGTTGCTCCCATGTACTCGATGTCAGGGCTCCGACAAACCACCACCATTCAACTCGTAAGTCTCTAGCCACATTTCTTATGTTAAAAAAAAAAAAAGATTTATTAGGAGTGACCATATCAGCGTTACCTGAGTGCAGCTGACTCTAAGACACATCATTCATTTCTCCCTCAACCCTGGTCTTTCCCCCACACCCCGTGGATATATATTCTCCAATGGGACACATCCATAGCCAAGAGTCATCAATCATGCTCTCCAGTAATAGTCATGCGTGCCAACAGCTTCGGCTGCCTAGCAATTATCTGAAGCATTTAAGGAATGCTGTACTTTCCCCGCTCCCTTTCTGCTGGCAACTAAAAAGACCAAAGAAGTATTTTTTTTAGTTGACACTCAGTAGATAGTCATACAACATAGAATCATAGGGCCGCATCAGGGTTGTGTTTCACCTCAGGGGTGTGGCGGGGTATGGCCAGGGTGGATGTGGCCAGCTCAACATCACTCATGTTGGGGGCGCCTGTGGTGGCCTGAGCACTGTGCCAGGGAAAACGGAGTTTGCGGCCCTTCCCAGCCCCATTTTCCCTGGCAGAGGGTTGAAGGAGTCCATCGCAGCCACGGGCAGCCCGTGCAGGTCAGATCTAAGCACACTGCGGGCCAGATCCAGTCCGCAGGCCTTGAGTTTGACACCCGTGTTCTAGTCTAACCTGCTGCTCAAGATAGGAGACCTTATATCATCCTGGTCAAATGGTTGTCTCTTTTTGAAAACCTCCAGTGATGAAGCATCCACGACTCCAGGAGGCAAGCTATTTCACTGATTAATCGTTCTCAGTCGGAAAATTTCTCCTTACTTCTAGGGTGGATCTCTCTTCAATAAGCTTCCCACCCATTGCTTCTTGTCCTGCTTTCTGGTGCTTTAGAGAATAAGTCAGACCCCTCTTCTCTGAGGTACTGGAAGAGAGCTATCATGTCCCTCCGCCCTCAATCCTTCTTTTTGATAGGCTAGACATACCTAGCTCCCTCAATTGTTCATCATACAATTTAGCCTTCAAGCCGCTTATCGTCTTTTTGGTCTTCTCTGCACACTTAACTTTTTTTTTGTATTGTGGTGACCAGAACTGTATGCAGCCTTCCAAGTTTGGCAACTTTAAGACCTGTGGACTTCAACTCCCAGAATTCCACAGCTAGCATGTCTGGCTAGGAAATTCTGGGAGTTGAAGTCCACAGGTCTTAAAAGTTGTCAAGAGTGTTGAGAATTTACTGTGTTCCTCCTTTGTTACTGAATCTTTCTGCTCTTTCCCCTAGTCTGAGGGTGCTTCCTTCAATTTTCTTCCTCACACCTATGCACAGGGCACATGTTGTTGGATTTTCCTCTTGGCAGGATATAGTAGCTTTGATACTAGGCCTTGCCTATTCCTATAACAGTTCCCCTTTTAAAAAAACCTACCTAACTTGCTTCACTAATTTTCGTTAAGGTCATATTTCTGCTTTCAAGAATGTTCAAATGCAACCAAAGGAGGCTTAAACCTCTAACAGGTCTGTCCCATTTAAGAATTTCAGTCCAAAACGTTTGCTAGAATAACGAAAACCAGCACATTTCCACAACTGTTTTCATTAAGACAAGACCGCAATTTATCGTCTGGTGCTTCCTGAGATTGATCGTCTCAATTCTGTTGGCATGTTTGCCAAAAGCCTCTTGAGGAAACAATCTGTTTGCACAGAGTGGTTTTCTGACTTGACACACAACTGTCTATCTGCTTTGTGCTTGCAAGTTTTATTTTAATATTGGCTGCCAAGAAAACCCCTTTGTCCATCTCCCGCCTCCAGCAAGCTTTTGTTATTTTAACACCTTCAGGGAAATTGTCACTTCATTCCTGAGAGAAATCCTCTGTCCACTATGCCTGTAATTCGTAGATTATGAAGATAAAGATTCCATGTATTTTTTTCCCCACAATCGTCCTTTTCAGATATAGGGGTACACAGGAGAGGTTAACAGTAACTGATCTATAGATAATCTTATGACCACAATTGGGAGCAGAAATTCCATCGTTAAGCAATGTGGTCATTAAACCAGTTGTGCCCGATTTTAGGATCTTTTTGCTGTGATCCTTAAGTGAATCACTATGGTCTTTAAGTGAATCACCATGGTCATTAAATGAATATGGCTTCCCCTGTCAACTTTGCTTGTCGGACATCTCCTCTGAAGATACTATTTGGGAATAATATGACCCTGGGACACTACCTCAATCAAGGACTGATTGTAAGTCTTTTTTTTTTCAACACTACTGTAACTTCAATCACTAAACCACTACCTGTATTACTGGAATGATGCCTATAGCAAACAGTGGAAGTCTCAAAGGTGCTTTTTCAGGAGGCAACTGGACTTCGTTTTCTTCTTTTGAAGATCTTTCGCTTCTCATCCACGAAGCTTCCGCAGCTCTGACAGGATATTGGGGAATGGAAGGATGGAATCCTGTCAGAGTTGAAAAAGCTTCCTGGATGAGAAGCAAAACTTCTTCAAAAGAAAAAAAATACAAGAAAGTCCAGTTGCCTCCTGAAAAAGCACCTTTGGGACAACCATGACCTGGAGGACTGAGAACCTCTACAAAAACAGTGGAAGTCTTGCCATCGGTGGTGTAGTGGTTAGAGTGCAGTACTGCAGGCTACTTCTGCTGACTGCCGGCTGCCTGCAAGTTGGCAATTCAAATCTCACCAGGCTCAAGGTTGACTCAGCCTTCCATCTTCCGAGGTGGGTAAAATGAGGACCCAGATTGTTGGGGGCAACAGGCTGATTTTGTAGACTGCTTAGAGAGAGCTGGAAAGCACTGCCAAGCAGTATATAAGTCTAAGTGCGATTGCGATTGCTATCCCCACAAGTTTCCATCTAACCGAACATCCCAGGAACTCTAAGTCAAACGCTTTTTAAGAAACGCACAAATAAGTTACCGCAGACAACACTCAAACCCCGATTTTACAATCCAGCCCACGGCTAGAATATATCTCTTTTGACTAATCAGCATTCATAATCTTAAGTGGCACTAGGAAGAGAAATCGTTTCACATTTTTAGCACCAGTTTTCGGGCAGAATGGCAAGTGGCTCTGAAAAATTTATTTCCAAGGAGAAGAGAATTCCTCCGGTGGTTTCATCTGTATTTCTTGCATCACAAGATGGCCTGCAGCTTGCATAAATATTCTGACTTTCATTTTATAATCCCATCCAAGTATGAACCGTTTCCAACCCATTTCGCTTTCTTATACTCAAGCTACCACTTCCTTTGATGGCCTTTAGGATTCAGCTAGTTCTTATTGTCCATAATTTTTTTAAAAAAAATCTAGCCAGGAGAGAAGCCTCCCCCACACTCAGCCAATCTGCAAAATACTTTTGTGTAACCCAAAATACACAAAATACTTTTGCGTAACCCAAAGGCCACCTTGTTCAAACTACCAAAGCCCGTTTGCGTTCTTTGTTTGCCTCTTTTTATAGCCTGTTCTTTCTCTTTGCTCTCCTTTTCCTGGTGCACTTGACTCTTTAACAATGGCCTCAAATTACCCTGCCATTGAAATGGTGTTATCTCCTCCAGGCAGTCTGGTCTGTCCGCTAAACTCTTTGAAAGCCGCTTATGAACGCAGCTACCTCCTCCCCATCAGAAGCTAATTTTCCCATCCTTCTTACCGGAATTTTTTTATCAGATGTCTCCTGGTAAAAGAAAACCTCCAGGACATTAAAAAAAAAGAAAAGAAAGTCCTGTTAAAAGGGAGAGAAGCTCACACACTCCTCTAGAGAACATCCAATAAAAATAAATTGGACTACCCTTTTAAGAAAATCTATTTTCAGCAGGGCAAGTAGCCTGTGGCTCATTCTGGCATTCAGTCTTAATGCAAAAGGAATTGCTAGGTTCTGCAGTTCTGGGTGTAGCATGTATGAATGCACACCACAAAGGCATGTAGGTAGTCTCTGATTTACAATCATTTGTTTAGTGACCATTCAAAGTTACAGTTGTGGCTTGTCAGCCAGCAGCCCCTTCATCGCGGATGAGGCGGAGATGTGTGACTCAGTCATCAAGGAAATCTGACAGCTCCAAGGGGGAAGAGGGCATGGAGCTGTCAGAGAGAGAGAGAGAGAGACAGAGACAGAGGTGGATCCTGGGCTGTCCATCAACCCTCAGATGGAGAGTCAACATCCCCTAGGCTTGGAGGTGGCTGATGTGGGAGGAACAGCTGGGTCCAGTGCCTGATGCATGGATGCAGAGGAGAGGAGAGCAGTGGACATCTGTGGGCTGGTCCTTGGGATGGAAAAGCCACTACTACTAGCGAAGCCCCACCCTAGCTCTGGGGATAAAAGGCAGAGGGCGGAGATGAATAGGTGTGGCACACAACTAGTCATCTCCCTACCGATCAGCCACTAATAGCCTGCACTTCTGAAACCTGTCTGGAAATTATCAGAATTCTTCTTGGAATCTGCAGCGCCTTCTGAGCGTGTGTGTGTGTGTGTGTGTGTGTGTATGTGTGTTGCTGAAAGAAAACGAGCGCACCTTCCAGGACTTCCTTTACAAGTGTGGGGAGAGAGAGAGAGAGAAGAGAGAGGGAGACAGACAGAGAGAGGGAGGTAAAGGGAGGGAGGGAGAGCGGGAGGGAGTGCGGGACACTGGAAGGGAGAGAGAGGGAGGGAGGGAGAGAGAGGGAGGGAGGGGGGAGAGGGGGGGGGGGGGGGCAGGGACTGATTGACTCCTGGTATGTCTGGGCCAGTTCAGGGGGAAAAGGAGCAAGCATCACTTTTCACAGGGCTTAGAGACTTCGTAGCCTGCTGTGAGAGCGCGGCTGCTGGCACTCCTAATAAAGGGAACATTTCGTTAACTACAAAGGGCTTGTCGCGTTTGGGAGCCAGGTCAGAACAGTTACAACAGCACTGAAAAAAAATGACATGACCCGCATTCACCAACTGTTTGCAGCATCCCTCCCTGTTCACGTGATCCAGATTCGGGTGCTTGGCAACTGGCACATACTTATGACAGTTACACGGTCTTAGGGTCATGGGGTCCGCATTTGTAACCTTCCCAGCCTGCTTCCAAAAAGCAAAGTAAGTGGGAGGGAAACCAGATTCACTTAATTATTTCATCATTCACTTAATAACTGCGGTGATTCGCTTAACAACTGGAGCAAAAAATGAAGGCTGTAAAATGGAACAAAACTCACTGAAAAATTGCCTTGCTGAGCAACAAAAACGTTGAGCTCAATTGTGGTGGTAAGTCGAGAACTACCTCTGTTTTATTGAGTCTTTTGCATTGGGTCATAGTTGGGCCCTGTTATGTAAACCCAATGTCTAATTAAAAACAAAAACAAAAAATACACCGCTTCTTACAAAATGTGGGTTGTGTGTTGTCAGGTTTCTGAAGCTGGAGAAAAAGTAAGATTTCTCTGTTCTTCCAAAGAAACCATTCATTCGGAACTACGTAACAGAAATAATGGAGGGCATCCTGGTTGCTTGCTTTGAGCGTGCAACAAGCCGTGCCGTTTTCAACAGAGCCTTTTCCAATTTTGTCAGTTCATCCTTTTACATCAAGTGATGTAAAAGAAGTTTCAGTCGACAATCTAACAAGCTGCTATTTTTATTTTGTTGGTTATGACCCGCTTCAAGCACTCCAAGTGGAACTGAAAGAACAACTACAGGTAGGCAGGGTGGAAAAGGTAGGGCTTATGAAGAAAATGTTAGTTGCTTCCCCAGTTTGGAATCCCAAAGGTGCTTTTTCAAGAGGCAACTGGACTTTCTTGTTAATACAGACAACAGATAATCAGAGTTGGAAGGGACCTTATAGGTAATCTCAATGTAAGCCGCTTCAAATTCGATTGCAGAAAGTACGACTTCAGCCACAGAGTGGTCAATGCCTGGAATGCACTACCTGACACTGTTGTTACATCCTCTAACCCTCACTCCTTTACCCTCAAACTATCCACTATTGACCTCACCCCATTCCTAAGAGGTCTGTAAGGGGCGTGCATAAGTGCACCATCGTGCCTCCCGTCCCTGTCCTATTGTCCCCATTTAATCGTACCTATTTTCTGTATTCTTATTCATGTTTATACTTGTATCTATTATCTTGTAAGCGATTGACAAATCAAATAAATAAATAAATCTAGTACCTCTAGGCCACCGCCACTCTCCTGAGGACTACTTGTATATGTTTTGTATAGACTTGTATATATCATAATACTTGTATGTATCATGAGAGAGTTAGACCGGTGAATTGGTCTCATACATTGATTTAGACAGAAAACATCCTGTATAGAAAATTGACCAGGTCTCAAGAAGGAAGAAACTAACCACGTGCAAATGTGTCCCCTCAAGATTATAAGGAGATCCAGAAGGTTAAGTAACCTCCAGTGGAACACACATCCTTTTTTGCCCTGTGATCCCACTTCTAGCAATGAGTAAACTTGCTGCAAACTAGATCTTCATATTGACCACTAGCTGGGACCTCACACTATCAACCAAGATGTTCTTCTGCACAAATTAACCTGAACTGAGACATCAAAAATGAAAGGCGAAGGAACTTCAGCCATAAATAGCATATAATGCCAGAATACGGCAATCCAATCTATTTCCCCCACAGGTAACTTTACCTTGCTGGCCTTCAGAATATTGATCTGTTCTTCGTGGACTGTATCTCTATTTTTTTCCAAAAAGCCTTCACAATAATATTCCACCTAGAAAAGATGATAGAACCAGAGGTTGGGTAGGAAGAGGAAAAATTAAAATTAAAATTGTGAGTACAAATCTTATCAAACAAATTAAGATATTCTCAAATAATAAGGACTGTATGTCCCTATATTTTTTTTTCAAAACACTCTTTTTTAAAAATGGGGCAGCCTAAAACCAGAATATCTTACAGAATGCTAAAATATCTGGATCTCGATTTCTACATTCAATTCAAACTGAATTGTGTGTGTGCTCAGATGCACAAAAGACTAGTTTAGCTTATTTGTTGTGTTCAGCAATTATCAAAACTAAGTGCTTATTAATAAAAGTGGCTTTTTAACCTGAACATTGTTAAAAGGAGGGGTAGAACCATTTTTTCACTGGGGTAAAATCTCTGGCCTTCTCCACCAAATGGTTGCTGTTGTGAATGAGGATTGTAACCCATTGTAAGAGAGACTACGTACAGTTCCTGCCTTCTAACCTCACTATAAATTCTTAGAAACAATCTTTCAAGACTCACAACAGAGTCAAGAGAGGTGAGAAACTGTGGCTGCTTAAAAGTACTAAAGCAGCTTCAGATCTGAGTGGAGAATTCAGACCAAGCCTTCTTAGCTGGATATCAACTTTTTCCTCCTGACTGGTGTGAATTATACCATACTTCTGAGAAATGGAGCTGAATCATATGTTTGGCAGCTGCTATTAGCAACATAAATGTGCTAGAATAATGAAAAGTGCATATGTACCAGTTTCATCTTTCAAATCCAACACTGTATCACCATGGCTCTCACTAATATGCAATTAAATGCAAAAAAGGGAGGGAATCTAAAATTCTTTTTCAATCTCACTCTAAATTCCAGGAAAGTCAATAAATAGCAGCTGCCAGGAGCCCTGGTAGCACAAGGGTTAGAATGCAGTATTGCAGACAAACTCTGCCCACAGCTTGGAGTTCGGTCTTGAACAGCTCAAGGTGGACTCAGCATTCTAGCCTTCCAAGGTCAGTAAAATGAAGACCCAGATTGTTGGGGCCAATATGTAAATAATAGAATAGAATAAAATTCTTTATTGACCAAGAGTGATTGGACACACAAGAAAATTGTCTTTGGTGCAAATACTCTCAGTGTACATAAAAGAAAAGATACATTTGTCAAGAATCATCAGGTACAACACTTAATGATAATCCTAGGGTACAATAAGCAATCAAATTGTACTAGGAAACAGTCAATACAAATCGTAAGGATACAAGCGACAAAGTTACAGTCATATGGTCACAAGTGAGAAGGGATAAGGAGTGATGAGAAGATTAACAGTAATAGTAGTGGAGACTTTATAATAGTTGAACAGTGTTGAGGGAATTATTTGTTTAGCAGAGTGATGGCGTTCGGGGAAAAACTGTTCTTGCGTCTACTTGTTCTGGTGTGCAGTGCTCTATAATGTCGTTTTGAGGGTAGGAGTTGAAACAGTTTATGTCCGGGATGTGAGGGGTCTGTAGATATTTTTAGTAAAATGTTCCTACTGTGTAAATCACCCATAGAGCTATAAAGCACTATGGGGCAGTACATAAGTTTAACTGCTATTGCTATTGCTAGCCAGTACAGGCAACCAATACAAAGAGCTCCCCAGACCAAAGGGAGATGTTAACTCAGTTAAGGAGAAAGGCTAGTCCTGCACCAAACCCGCTCAAGTCTCTCTGTTCCCATTACCTTATCTGCAAAGTGCACAATAATGAATGCCATGTTTGACATGCGAGGCTTCTGGAAATGTTGACTGTTCCCGTGGCGATCATAGAGTTTCTGAGCCCAGTTCTCGTCTGTTCCTTTAGGGACCTGTTTTAAAAGACGATTATTCAGAAATGCATGACAATTATTCAGAAATACAGTAAAAGCCTCGTTCTGAATGTATTTTTCTAAATGAGGGCTAGCGTTTCACTACACAACAATGCAACTACCTAAAGCGGCTTCTTCCATCTGGAGCGCCTCAATGTTTCTTTACTTATGGGGAACATATTAGCTGATGTGACATTTACTGAAGAGCAAAATTACATGGATACAGTAGTCCTTAGCCTACAATCACAACTGGGCCCGGAACTTCTGTTACTACATGATCATCAACATTGTCTTTTAATGATCCCATAATCCTTTGTGGGGTGGAGTCTGCGCAACTGAATGGAGCGGTGTGTTTACTGACCGGATGCCCTTCCTATCGCCAATGAGGGGTTATATTCAGCAGATATAATCTCAACAATAGAGAGAGAAAAAGCTGCCTCTACCTTGGATCGAACTCACAGCCTCTTGATTGTGAGGCGACAGCTTCAACACTAGGGCCACTGCACCACTCTATCTTACTATATAATGGGGTCCAGATTTTTATTGTTCAGATTATTAACGGCTTAAAAATAAACAAAATATTCTTAATTCTTACGTACTTATTTACTCTTTATAACAGTTCTTTTCCTTGACACTTCCAGATTGTTTTTACATAAAAAAACAGTAAATGAACATTTATGGAGAAATTAATTGATTTATTCAGGCTGAATTGTTTCTTCCACCCAACTAAGCAGGGCCAGCTTTCATCATAACTTTTCCAGGGCTACAGGTGTAAACAACCCAAAACTGAAATAAAGAGATGTAGCAAAAACATATTTCACAGTCAGCTTGATGTTATATCTTAGCTTTTAAGATACCTTAGCTTTTAAGCTCACTATCTTGAACATTACAATCAAAGGTATCTCTTATTATTGACTAGCTCGATACCCATGCTTCGCTACGAAACTATTTGATTGGACTTAGTTTTGGGGGAGAAAATTCTGCCTCTGCCTACCATTATCCATTGGTGTTCATCTGGCTAGTGTCCTGTCAGCATGTGAGAGAGTTGAGGGCTGTTTGGAAAGTGATACAGTATTTGTTGTGTGAGCAAGAAGGAGACAGCAAGGAGCCTGGGCGTGGCTTAGCTCAACTGTTCTGTACGACAGCTGCTTGCTGCTGTGAAACTAAAACTGAAACTCCTTTCCCCTGCTTGTTTTACATTTGGAACAGATTTCTTTTCAGGTGGGAAGGGGAAGTAGAACTCTTTAGCATCAGAGCGTGTTAATAATAATAATATAGGAAATACTAATGGTCATTTCAAAAAAATCCTTTTTTAGTGAGCACCTAGAAGCCAAGAGGAACATACGAGCCAAATTTCAAGTTTGTAGGCTTTATAGTTCTGGAGATTTTATGATGATGTGTGAGTGGTTTCGTTTTTATAGAGAGAGAGATTTAATATTCTGCATCAAACAAATTAAAATGATATTTTAGATAATTTTACTGTATCATGAGGATCCGAGACTCCTGCTTCCAAAAACCTCTCAATAAATTGGAATAGTACTTCAGTAAAACCTTTTTTGCAGAATTTCTTACACTGCCTGCCAACTTATGTTATTCTGGCTCCACTGAAATGAGAGATGTTTCCAGTGGAGGCTGCAGGATGCTTGTGATCAAAAGACTTTGTTCAACCATTCTTTTTTTTTTTCTCCTTCCTTCACAGGTTTTTCTCCAGGTGGTGGGGAAAAACTGAGAGAACAAACAGTATGCAGGCCTTCATAAATGTCCATGAAGGAGATACTGTGGAATTAACATTCAATAAAAACACTCTGGCATCTGGATAAGAACAGGTAGGAAGCATGATAGCAGTGTTCCAGTATTTGATGGGCTCCTACAAAGATATGAGTGAGGGAGTCTAACTATTTTCCAAAGCATCAGAAGGCAAGACAAGAAAAAATGGATGGAAACTAACCATGAACAGAAGCAACCTAGAACTAAGGTGAAATTTCCTAATGGTGAAAGCAAGAAACCAACAGAACAGCTTGGCTCCGGTAGTTGTGGGCACTCCCTCATTAGAGGCTTTCAAAAAGAGACTGGACTGTATTTGCACAAAATTGGAAAAATGAGAAAACTCCAACAGAGGAGGAAACAATTAAAAAAAATAATGGAATGTGCAGGAATGAGTAGACTAACAATGGCAATCAGAGAACAGGAGGAAAAAGAGTGTTATAAGATTCGGGATTTATTTTATGAATGGTTAGATAGAAGAATAAGAAACTGAAATATGTGGTGATAGTAATAATATACTATAATTGATTAATCTTGAACGAGTAAGAGAATGAATATAACTTAGCAAGGATTAGTTATGTTTTTAAAAGATAACAATTATAATGTAAATATAATAATTGAATAATATAAAATGTTGCTTACAACGGTTTATAAATATAATTAAGTAAGAAATGTACAATAATATTATGATGTGCACAAGATATATGTATCCAATTGACACACTGTAAAATTGAAAGATGGCTTTATTTGTTGTCTTTGTTGGTAAAATAAAAAAAACTTTTTTTTAAAAAAAAGAGACTGACAGCCATTTGCCTGAAATGGTATATGGTGCCCTGTTTGAGTAGGGTTGGATTAGAAAAGCTCCAAGTCACTTCCAATTCTATTATTCTGTGTTTCATGTTCTATGCATCTCTTATCAAAACATGTACTATCTCGTTCAGAAGTAACCTGACTCCTGCAACAATTAAGTTCTGCTGATATCAGTGGGTTTACTTGAATTTAGCAAAACCTGGATCCCATCAACTGACTTTGAACTGACCCAAGTTTTTTTGGAAATAGTCTACCTGTTCCACTAATGGCTGACTTGCTTTCATCAAAAAGCTCACCAGATGTTAGCGCATGTTAACTCGTAAATCGTTCCCATGCCTGTTTCCGAGTTGCCATAAGAAAGGGGTGGAGGGGGAGGCCTGAGGGAACAGTGCAGCAGATGAAGGTCAGAAGCACATTCCACGCTTATCTTGTGGAGATTGTAGCCTAGGCTACTGGATCTTCTGAACTCGAAAATCCTTCATTGAAGAATGTGACTGATGACACCCAGCCCGTGAATATGTTTGTTGGAGAATCTGATTTGTGACACACCCGGGGGTGGGGGGGGAAACAGGGTCATAGGCAGAGGTGGTAATCAGTAGGTTCTGACAAGTTCTGGAGAACCGGTAGTGGAAATTTTGAGTAGTTTGGAGAACCGGCAAATATCACCTCTGACTGGCCCCGCCCCATTTATTCTCTGCCTCCCTAGTCCCAGCTGATTGGGTCTTCTTTTGTTGTTCTGCACAGGAGTACGGAGCTGGAAAGCAGGTTAGTGGGATGGGGAGGGAATGGAGATTCTACAGTGTCCTTCCCCTGCCACGCCCACCAAGCCACGCCACGCCCACAGAACCGGTAGTAAAAAATTTGAATCCCACCACTGGTCATATGTGATAGTAAATTACATGTCTCAGAGTTGGCTTCATAAGAGTTAGTGCCGGACATGTTGCTCCTAATGTTTTGGATTCTTCTGAAGTTTGGCTCGAGGCTCATGATTTAATTAGGGCAATCCTCGGAACCCTGACAGTGCAATCGTTCTTGAAATCACCTTATTATAAGCACTGAGCATTAATGAGATTGGGGAAAATTTTTTACCTTACATTCTTCATCCAGCAAGTCCAGGATACCCAGTTTAGCTTCTATTAGGTCTATGCATGGCTGATTGTCATAAAAATCAATGAGGGTCCAGGGAATTTCCTCTTTCATGTATTCATCTTGCTCCAATTTAAAGACATGCTGTGGCAGAGAAAGAGAGCAAACATTAAGCTGTTATCTGGAAAGGCTGCTTCAATAAACCCCAAATACAGGAAGTCCTTGATTTACAACCATTTGCTTAGTGACCGTTCAAAGTTACGACAACACTGAGAAAAGTGACTCGCGACCATTTTTTTGCACTTCACTTTGGTTAGGTGATCAAAACTCAAATACATGGCAACCGACCTGCATTTATGATGGTTGCAGTGTCCTGGGGTCACGTGATCCCCTTTTGCGACCTTTGACAGTAAATGCAAAAATCAAACCCATGCATAAAAGACTATTAACAACTTGAAATCATGCACCAAGTAATAGATGAATTGCTGTAAGATGAATCACTTGTAAGGATCTGAGGACATAATTAGGCTATTAAGAAAACAAGCAGCAGCAAACAGAATTTTCGCAAGGGATTGATGAATATCTTAAAATAAATATTTCACTCTCTCTGTCAATCCGTTACAATATTTGTTGCTATGAAAAATCGCTTTTAGGGACTTATTAATTATTATGGGCAAAGTCAATAAAAAGCAAAACGTGCAAAATAAAGCAGAAAATCATTAGAGTTTTATAAAAAAAATAACAAGTGTAAATTATCGAAAAAGCCACAAGGGAAGTAAAAGTTATAGAACTTTTGGAAAATGGAAACAACTTAAAATATAGTGCTAAGGATTGTGAGTGTTTTTAAAAAAGGGACTAGGTATTAAGAGTGTAACTTTTAAAAATCTGCTGTTCTTAAATTGAAGGAAATTTAATTTCCTTTTTCTAGATCTTCCAATACTACTTGTTCATTTATTTATTATAAAAGCTGAGGAACTCTCAAAGGTTATGTTGAAAGAAAATATCTAGATTGATCATAAAATTATAACATTGTTATATAACACAAATATAGTGGGGTTCCTAATTTGAACTACTATTTAAAAGGATTTCAGTTGAGACAATTTGGGTCCTGTTGCAAATCAACCCATTCTCACAGTAGGAAGTCATATAATTTCCATTGGGTAAACAGAGCTCATCAAAAATTTATTTGCTTTTTATAGCAGTTCTATGTAATGTAAACAGAGTGGGTTAATCCCTTTTAGAAGACAAACTTCATGAATATGTTAGTTATTCCTATATCTTGTTCATTTTCTACATTCTTAAAACATTTTAGTCAAGACACAGAATATTTTGGATATCTTTGTATTCTTTGTCCCACCCCCAAAGATACTGAAATAAGTTTGACAATCCCAATTACCAAATTGAACTGCTGCTGTAATTTTTCGTTGGCGTAATTGATGCAGAATTGTTCAAAGCTATTATATTCAAAGGTTTCAAACCTGCAAAACAAAAGAATATTCTTAAAGAAAGGTTATAGTTTCTGGGGTGGGGAGGAATCATTAATATTTATGGATTAATTGTTGTACTATTTTTATAAACCACCTTGGGAATCTGATTTGAGTTATTAAAATGAGGTCAATAAATAAAAATTATTTCCAGTTTAGAAATATCAGCGAGAGCTTAACTTAGTTTTCCCAATGCCGAATCCTACTGATGCATGGATAGCTATCACAGGATGAAAATATGGAACTGTAAATTCCAATATACTTGGAGAACATTATATTGGGGAAGAAATGTTTTTAGGCTAACAGCTCCATCAGTTCCATCACTCACTATCTCCTAGAGCAGGGGTCCCCAAACCCCCCACCCCCCCATTCCCCATGGTGCAGCCCAGTACAAGGCTGTGGCCCATTCAAAACTGGGCCAGGAAGCAGTAGGTGAGTGTGTGCGTGCATGCAGCTCCATTTGTTTGAGCGTCGTGCATACCTGCCGCTCATGCAAATGAAACTGCGCACATGCTCACCCATCACTCATGTGGGACCATCTCTCTTTCTCCTTGCCCCCCATCCCGCCGGCACTGGTCCACCAAGCCAGAAAAGTGGGGACCACTGTGCTAGAGACCTATCCTATTGCCAAATTTCAATAGCTAGAACACCGACCTCGTCCCTGGGCCGTAGGAACCATATTTTTACATTCCTCACCATGACACAAGAACATCAACAAGGGATTAGGGAAAATTGTTAAGTGCTTCTCAACCTTCTAACATTTTTACCATATGAAGTCCAATCCTATAATGAAATATTTGCAACAGATCCTTGTGGGGGGGAGGGGGGAGAGACAGGGGGGAGGGAGAAGGCGGGGGAGAGAGAGAAAGGGAGAGACAGAGAGGGAAGGAGGGAGAGGGAGAGACAGAGAGGGAGGGAGAGAAATGGAGAGACAGAGAGGGAGAGGGAGAGGCAGAGAGAGGGAGGGAGAGAGGGAGAGGGAGAGGGAGAAGGGGAAGGAGAGACAGAGAGGGAGGGTGAGACAGAGAGGGAGAAACAGAGAGAAGGAGAGGGAGGGAGTGAGGGACGGAGAGACAGAGAGAGAGGGAGGGAGGGAAATGGAGAGACAGAGGGAGGGAGAAGGAGAGGGAGAGAGACAGAGAGACAAAACATTTGAAGGCATCTGTACAACAGCATTAAAATATCTTATGAGACAAGTTTGAATAGTTTATTATTTTTGGTCTGACAAAATCCTGAGTAAAATCTACCGAGAAATAATACCTCTGGATACAAAACAAACGTTGAAGAATGAAAAGGGGGGGAAATGAGATTCTTTCTATTCAGCTAAGAAAAATTACCAGACGATGAAAGTACCAGACTGCTTTCATTAGGCCCTATAGATAAAAGGTTTAAAATAGCTTTGCACTGTCATCTTAAGAAGGTTCACATGTAACTCCAAATTCTTATTTAATATACACACATTCGCTTAAAACTTCCTCCATCTTTTTCAATTTTATCAGAATAAGTACTCCTCCGTTGTCAAGTGTAACAGCTTAATGGAAACCAATCAAGGAAAATGAAAGTTTTAAGATAATAACATTACATTTTATGGTTTTTAAGCATGTTACTATAAAGGAAATCCAATCTCCTGCTTTGGAATCGATTAGCACAATGTCTTTCTCGAGATAGAGTTTAATACCCCCGCCTTGCATTCTTTTCAACTATGGCTTTGATTTGGGCTTTGCTTTAATGGATCTGATTCCTATCTACCGTCAAATAAAGTAGGCATTCAATTGCTTCCCGCTACTGTATGAAATCTAATACCAAAACATCCAGAGATCCTGATTAACACTTCCCAAAGTCACTCATCTGAATCACACTGTGCCCCTAAAGCCAGACCTCAGCAAACAAAACACAAACCATCTTCCTATCGAATGGCACCAACAAATGTTTGCATGTCAGGCTGTTAGAGAAGGGACAGGGGAATTCTCTACAAGGATGCATCCTGGAGTAGCATTCTCTGTGCCCAGGAACAGGAATCCAATTGTGTCTGACTTTAGGGCTGTGATGGCGAACCTGTGGCACGCAGAGGCATTTGTGCTGGCGTGCAAGCTACAGGCAAAGTTACCTCACTGTGCATGCGTGCACCTCCCAGCTGATTTTCAGTCTGTGTGAGGTCTTTTTAGGCCTCCCAGAGGCTTGAGGAAGGCATTTGGCAACCTTTGTAGGCCGAAAAATAGGCCCGTTTCGTCACTTCGGAAGTGACAAAACGGGCCTATTTTTCGGCCTGCAAAGCCTGCCAAATGCCTTCCTCAAGCCTCTGGGAGGCCGAAAAAGGCCTCAAATGGGCCGAAAATCAGCTGGGAGGTGCAATGCAGGCAGCATGGGGGGATTACGCGCACATGCACAGGGGGCGTGGGGGGCTGCGCATTGCTTTCTGGGCAATTTTTGGCACAGGAGCCCAAAAAGGTTAGCCACCACTGCTTTAGGGGATGAGAATGCATCAAAAATACTTCGCTTTAACATCCTTACTATGAATAAGATAGTTATTTCCAAAATTATATAGCCTAACTTCTCCTTTCAATAAATCGCATTAAGATCAACCTGGAGGCACTTAACTTTCTTGGCTATGGATGGCAGTAAGGGCCTTGATGCATCGATTGCTTTTATCATAGTTGTCCCAAAAGTGCTTTTTCAAGAGGCAATGGGACTTTCTGGTTTTTCTCTGAAAACATTTCACCAGGGGTGGGATTCAAAATTTTTAACAACCAGTTCTGTAGGTGTGGCTTAGGTGGTGGGTGTGGCTTGGTGATCATGTGACTGGGTGGACATGGCTTGGTGGTCATGTTATTGGCTGGGTGTGGCCAACTCACGATCACTCACATCGAGGCACGCATCTCCTTGCCTGGCCTCTCATGACTGTTGGGATGCTTCAACAGTCTTAAGTGTGAAAAATGGTCATAAGTCACTTTTATCAGTGCCATTGTAACTTTAAATGGTCACTCCACACAAGCAAAGTACCAGTAAAGGAGGGGGAAAAAACTCCAGAGATGTTCCTGAGACAGGAAGACTAGTCTTGCCAAAAATGTAATAAGGGTTAATGGAGAGGCAGTTTCTGTAAGCAACACCAGAATGTTTCCTTCCTGCCTTCCTTACAGGATTAGCCCAGTAATTTCTTCTAACAACCGGTTCTCCAAACTGCTTAGAATGTTAACGACCGGTTCTAGAGAATAGGTGTGAACTGGTAGAATCCCACCCCTGCGTTTCACTTCTTATTCAAGAAGCTTCTTCAGCTGTGAGAATGGATTCAGTTCCGAGAAGAGCTGAAGAAGCTTCTTGGATGAGAAGTGAAACATCTTGAAGGAAAAACAAAGAAAGTCCAGTTGCCTCTTGAAAAAACAACTTTGGGACAACCATGACCTGGATAAATAAGAATGTCCGTAGACTTTTATCATAGTCCTCCTCAAGAATCTTCCTGCTTCATCTATCAAGCAAGAAATGAAAACCATTTAGGCAAGCTCATAACAACCGTAAGAACTCCTGATAAATAATCTTTATTTATGCGCCGCGGTGGTGCAGTGGTTATGGTGCAGTACTGCAGGCTACTTCTGCTGGCTGCCGGCTGCCTGCAATTTGGCAGTTTGAGTCACACCAGGCTTCCATCCTTCCGAGGTGGGTAAAATGAGGACCCAGATTATTGGGGGCAATAGGCTGACTCTGTAAACATCTTAGAGAGATCTGTAAAACACTGTGAAGCACTATATAAGTCTAAGTACTATTGCTATTGCTATTATTAAAGCCATAGTTTTTGTAAGAAGGAATCTCCAATTATTATAGTAACATGTGCTGTCTCCAAGATCAAAAGTTATATTTAAAACAACAGACAAACGCTTTTGTGCCTCATTCTTGTTTCCAATTTATGTAAGAGACTATCCATCGTCTTTTTCTAACATGGGGCGATTTTCATCCATCTTTTTGCAATAGTCACATCTGCTCCAACCGCATTGATTTGTCACGGACGGCAAGAATTAGTGCACTCACCTACTTCTGTCACTGGAGACAGGACATGACCCTTTTCCCTGCACACAAGAGAGGGGCAGAGCAATCCCTATGATCACAGCACAACTTATTACACACAGAGAGACACTTAAAATATCTCAGAAGTCTGTCTGCTCCAGCTGTGCTTTACAGAATTTGAAGAAAAAAAAAAAGAAGCAACACACCCACAAACTGATTTTGATGCCCGCATGCGAGACAATCCTCCCTTACAACTTGCTCTACAATTTACTAGTGTTGCTCTTGTGCCTCCGGCAAATAAGAGGAAAGAGCCACACCACAAAACTTAACTCTACTGCCTAGAGAAGATGCAGGAAATACCCTGGGAAGGTCAGCATTGATCGTAGCCAATGCAGCCAAATGAGGCGGAAGGAACAGGATCCCCAAAAGCTTGTTGCTCACCCATAAATGTCCAGCACACCGATGAAGGAATGCTGCTTGACTGTCGTGTACAAGGCCTTGTTGATATGCTGCACAATCCAGTTGAACAGCTGAGCGTAGATGTGCTTGGCCAGCGCATTCCTGGCGTTGACGGCTTGTTGGAGGGACATATTCTTGGTGTAGGTTTCCGAAGTGGTGACCAGCTTCCGATGGCAAAGCCAGTGTTCCAACTGGCTATGTTCCACTCCCAGTAATCTGCAAAAATGATGCAGGTGTTCATCTTGGTTCTAGGATACAAAGAAAAACATCTGATTCAGGAAAGCACGCAGCAGAGGTTCATGTCGCCGGAGGGCAAAAAATAAATAAATAAAAAATATATCCATGCAACCTTCTAATTCACCAATGGCTAGATTTGAGGAGGATAACCCGTATGCAGAAGATGAGCTCAGCAGGGAGGGCGACCCATCAAGGAGCACATCTGTGAATTCAGGAGAATCAGTGGGAAGCTACCCCTTTTGCCTGAATGGATGCTGGTTCATTTTTTCAGGACCAGCCTGGACCATCAAATTAGCAAAGTAACTGCCTATCGGGACATCCGGAACCGACTGAGTGGTTCCGAGTAGCCAAAAAGGTCGACGGGGCATTACACGCTAGTGACATGAGGAAGCCACCGGGAATCAGAGACAGAGGGCAACCAGACCCGAGATCACCAAACCAACGGGACAGCACACCATCACGATCTGCCCCAAACCTTTGGTGAAAACCCTTGGTGATCTACTTGAGGCTGCCTTCTTGGGCTGCTGTTTCCAGCTTCCAAGAAACAGCCCTGGTGGCGCAGTGGTTAGAATGTAGTATTGCAGGCTAATTCTGCTGACTGACTGCAGTTCGATTCTCCCCAGGCTGAAGGTTGACTCAAGCTTCCATCCTTCCGAGGTAGGTAAAATGAAAACCCAGATTGTTGGGGGCGAGAGACTGACTCTGTAAACGCTTACAGAGGGCTATAAAGCATTGTGAAAGTGGCATATAAGTCTAAATGTTGTTGCTATTCCAATAAAGAAGAATGTTTGTAGCAGAAAGTTGAAATGAGGGAAATTTTGGTGCTCTCTGAGCTTGGTTGTTTTCTTGCAGAGGTTTCATTACCCAACTACTCAATGGCACTGATGACATTACCTAGTCTGGGTATGAAACGTCTCCAAGAAAACAACCGAGCTCAGAGAACACCAAGGACGTCTCGTTTCCAGCTTTGTTAGTTTGGAGCGACAAGGGTTAAAAACTGCACAGCTGGAGAATCCCGTTTTCTAATTTGAAGTCCTGACAATCCTCATTTATTGCCCTCAAATTGTGTCGGAATTATTACTGTAAGAAGTCTTCACTAGCACGTAATTGTTATGCTGGCAATTCTCAAACCAAAGGAAAGGAGCCCCCAGGAGACTGTATTATGTAAGGAACGTAGACAGTGGTGGTATTCTACTGGTTCAGCCCGGTTCTGCAGAGCCGGTAGTAGTGATGAGCAGCGGAGAAAAAAACCAATTCTCTCTGATGCTTTGTTGGTCCCACCCACCCGTCTGGGCTCCCATATTAACCTTTATATCCTGCTTTTGAAGCGCAGCTGCTTTGAGCAGCACAGCAATTGCCGCGTGGCAGCTGCTGAAGCAACGGGAAGAGTGCAGGATTGCAGGGGGTGAGTCCAAATGCCACTGCACCTGTGCAAAGTGCACGTTAGGCGCAGGTAAAGCACGACCCCCAAGCCACGCCCACCGAACCAGTGGTAAAAATATTTGAAACACACCACTGAACATAGACTGTAGAAAACCTTTTCTCTGCACCTCATATTTTGCTGCGTTTTGCTGATTAAATAAGTTAGCAGGCAGAGCAACTGTTCAGAATTATGGATGCATTTCAATTAAACAGCAACAATATCCTTAAGGACAGCAATGCTTGAAAAGAAGATTTGCTTATGGACCCAGTGTATTCAAAGCCTAAGAATTAAAAATAGGGCACCGCATTATTTCTTAAGGAATTGCAGCAACCGTGCAAACAATGTTTTCATATTTGAATTAGAAAAAAACAAAAGACTTCAGCTGACAGTCAGGGAAACAGATATGGGCAGTGCTCAACTTACAACCATTTGGTTAGTGAACTTTTTCAAAGTTACAATGACACTGAAAAAGTGACTTTGACCGTTTTTCACATTTATGACCATTGAAGCATCTTCATACAACTTAGATGCTTGGCCATTGACTCATATTTATGACGGTTGCAGTATCCTGGGGTCAAGTGATCCCCTTTTGCGACCTTCTGACAAGCAAAGTCAACGGGAAAGCCAAATTCACTGAACAACCGGGTCGCTAACTTAACAACTGCCAGTGGTTTACTTAACGACCGTGGCAAGAAAGGTGTCAGCTTTGGAAGCCATATTGAGATCAGATGGTTCCACGCTGCCACATCTGAGCCTGGGAGGAATTTATTGGAGTATATCTAGTTAGACATAATAACATTCTTTTTCTGATTCAAGGTCGGGTTGCGTTGCGCATAAATGAGAGGAAGTCTTGGGACGGATGGTGATTGGGCCATGTGATGCGATGATGGGCGCAGAAGATGGGTTTTGTAGTTTTTACTTATTGTAAGGAAGCCCAGAACTTTCAGATTCGGGATTCCACAGTTGTGCCAATTGCTATCCAAAATAAAAGGAACTTTTGAGAAGATGTCTGTCTTGGAGTTATTGGGCAGACTGAAGGGCTGCTGGAACGCTGACAAGAGGTCCTAAAATAGGGCAAGACCCATTTAACGACTGTCTTGCTCAGCAATGGAAATTTGGGGGTAAGTTGAGGACTAACCGTAATAGATTAATCAGCAATTGTATCACATTTTATCTGCTTAGAATAGCGGTGGGTTGAGTGGAAGGATGAGCATTTTGCTCTGCAGGATTTATTAAGGCTTATAAAACTCTGGCCATTGATTCCTTCCTTCCATGCTCTGCCTGCATAATGAGAAGCAAAGACGTATCCCAAACCCTAAAGGTCTCAAGGGAACTCCCTCGACATGGGATATAATTATGTCAAGACTTTGCATAACATTAGATGTGCAGTGTCACAAAAATTGCACTGCCCTCTTGAAAGAAGCCCTCGCAATTTAGGAGTCTCTGGTTGTCTTACACGATCAAAGCCCTGCTTCTTTTTTGATGTGCATTCATCAAAAGATTAATGAAGAAAAAAAAACAGCAGATCTAAAGATGGTTCTTCTTTGAAGTACAGGGCACCTGGCGTGCCCGCTAAAAAAATAACGTACCGTTATACTGCAGGATTCTCCATCGCGTTCAGAACGAAAATCCACATTCCCAAGGTGCAGGACGGCAGCGAGTATTTTAAAAATGGTCATCTGATAGGACTCCTTTACTCCTGAAAAATATGATTGATATACAATTTTCAAGTGCCTGCACAGCAATTTGCCGGCAGTCCCAGCAAGTATGGCATAAGACAAGGATGCTGGAAGATGGATTTTCAGAAAAACCTGGACCATCATCAATTGCCCATTCCTGGACCACAAACACCACAATTTGGGTGTGTGTGTATGTGTATGTGAGAGAGAAACTGTCTTCTCTTTAAATCTTAGTGGACAACCAGCTAAATATGAACCAGCAGTGTGTAGCAGCAGCCAAAAAAGCTAATGCAATCCTAAATTGCATTAACAGAGGGATATAATCGAGATCAAGTGAGGTACTAATACCACTCTATAAAGCCTTAGTAAGGCCACACCTAGAGTACTGCATCCAGTTTTGGTCACCCCATTATAAAAGATGTTGAGACTCTAGAAAAAGTGCAGAGAAGAGCAACCAGGATGATCAGGGGAGTGGAGACTAAAACATATGAAGAACGGTTAAAAGAACTGGGCTTGGCTAGTCTAGTGAAGAGATGGACCAGGGGAGACAGGATAGCAGTCTTCCAATATTTGAGGGGCTGCCACAGAGAGGAGGAAGGGGTCAAGCTATTTTCTAAAGCACCTGAAGGCCAGGCAAGGAATAATGGATGGGAACTGATCAAGGAGAGATTCAATCTAGAAATAAGGAGAAACTTTCTGACAGTGAGAACAATCAACCAATGGAACAGAAGTTGCCCTCGGAAGTTGTGGGAGCATCATCACTTGAGACCTTAAAGAAGGGATTGGAATGTCATTTGTCAGACTAGATGACCTATAAGGTCCCTTCCAACTCTGATTATCTGTTAATCTGTTAAATCGGCGATGGTTTATCCATACATTTTGGGTGACATACCAGCATTCACCCACAACTACAGATAGTCCTTGACTTACAACCATTCATTTAGTAACTGTTCCAACTGCACTGAAAAAGGGACTGATGACTGGTTTTCACACTTACAACTCTTGTAGCATCCTCATGGTCACATGATCAAAATATGGGCGCTTGGCAACTGGGATGTATTTAGGACAGTTGCGGTGCCTCGGGTCATGTGATCACCATTTGCAATCTTCCCAGCTGACTTCCAAAAAGCCAAGTCAATGGGGGAAGCCAGATTGGTTTAACGCCCATCTGATTAACTTAACACTTAATTCACTTAACTACGGCAAAAAATAAAAAAGATCCTAGGTCCAACTCACTTAACAACTGTCTTGTTTAGCCACAGAAATGTTGGGCTCAATGGTGGTTGGAAGTTGAAGACTGACTATATTCCCGAAAGTGTGCCCTTTCCTTGCACGGTTTTTTGGAGGCTGCGGAGGTTGTGCAAGAATTGGGTGTGCTCTTCCATAGGCTCTGGAAGTCACACAAGAGGGCTGGGCACTTGTGCAGCTTCCACAGCCTCCAAAAATGAATTTTTACTTGTGTTTCATTTTTGGTAATTATAGATATGGTAATGATAGCACCACACATGATTGGGGGCTGTGGGTTTTTTTTTTTTAAAAAGATAAATGAAAATGCAAAAAAAAAAAATGTTTCTCTTTTGCTTGGGGTATGTGTGTGAGATACACACCTGAAGAGTCAAGATAGGCATTTTGATATTTGATATGCCGAGCTCAAAAAAAAATTCATCATTACTGCTTGAAGTTCTTCTATTCCTGTTTTAGCTCCTGTATGGTGATTGGCAGCATAAGAAACTGCAATGTGACTAAGCAACAAATAGAAATTATACTAGTAAAGGGCCAAGAAAATATCTTCACAAAGCATACAACCACAGGCATGTGCATACCCCCACTCACTCACATACTTTTTTAAGCACCACACAAACAGTACTAAGTAAATCTATTTTACTTAGGCAGCATTACTTAAAATTACTTTCTAACCTCATGCCTGCTCCTTAGCGATTCTTCCGACATTTATATTGAAAATAACATTAAATATGTGCAATTTACCAAATAAACCAATTATTTCATTAAAATGGTAACCTATAAAAGTATTGCAAAAACCACTGGACAATATACACAAATGTCTCCAAAGTTTACACCAAGGCTTTACCAAGTTGCCAACTTTAAGATGCATGCTGGCTGGGGAATTCTGGGAGTTGAAGTCCACACGGTAGCTAAATTTGAAACACTTGACACCAAGGGTCTTCAAACTTGGCAAGTTTAAGTCTTGTGGACTTCAACTCCCATAATTCCTGAGCTAACATGACTGGAGGAGGAATTCTGGGAATTGAAGTCTACAAGTCTGAAAACTGTCAAGTTTGAAGACCTCTGCTTTACACTGATGCTCTTTTCCTTGATGGTCTCTGAGCTTGGTTAACTGATGGTGTTACCCAGTACGCTAATGAGATGTCTGCAAGAAAACTACCAAGCTCAAACAACACCAAGGATCCCACAGTTCAACCCTGAGCTACAAATATTCTCTTCTATTGAAACTTTGCAATATTGTGAAAAATTCCTGAAGGGCTACTCTATATCTTTGTACAGCAGGGGTCTTCAAACTTGACAGCTTGAAGACTTGTGGACTTCAATTCCCAGAATTCCACCTCCAGTCATGTTAGCTCGGGAATTCTGGGAGTTGAAGTCCACAAGTCTTAAACTTGCCAAGTTTGAAGACCCTTATACAGGGTAGCTGAATCAGCCACACGTTCTCCTAGGAAGCAGCCAAATTTGGGATGAAGCCCTTACCAAGCAGGGTGAAAGCTTGCCTTGTTTTCTCAAAATCTTCTGCATCATCAACTCCTTCAAGGGAGGTGTCTCCTCCCAAAGATGTGTAGAAAAAATCTTTGGCATCCACTAGAATAGAAACAACAGCAAAATTAAGTTCAGGGGGAGAACTGCTTTCACTTAGTTCATATTTCATGAAAGGACTTGCCTGAACCCTGAACCCACAAGGAAACAATCTGTGCACACAATAAGCACAGAAAATTAGGCACGACACAAGTTCAAACATCAGCTCCTCCCAAGGCTTTAGTTGGTCCATTTCTGGTCTTCCATCCCCTCATTTGAAGCAGCTTTTTATACTTCCATTGGCTCTTCAATAAACCAAGAGGCTAAAGGAAATGATTTCAAGACTGTTCTTTGGAAGGATAGATACTGAAGTTGAAGCTCAAATATTTTGGCCAATGAGAGGACTTATTGGGAAAAGACCCTAATATTAGGAAAGATGGAAGGCAAAAGGAGAAGGAGACAGCCAAGGATGAGATGGTTATATAGTGTCATCAACGCAATGAATGTGCATTTGGGCAAACTCTGGGAGATGATGAGGCCCAGTGTCAGGATTCCGAGGATTGCCCTAATTAAATCATGAGTCTTGAACCAAGTTTCAAAGGAAACCAAAAGATTTATTAGGAGTAACATGTCCAGAGTTAACCTGTATGAAGCCAACTCTGTGACACATAATTTACTATCACCTATGACCCTGTTTACCCCCCCCCCCCGGGTGTGTCATATATCAGGTTCTCCAACAAAACACATTCAAGGGCTGGGTGTCATCAATCACGCTCTCCAATGAAAGATTTTTGAGGGCAGAAGATCCAGTAGCCTAGGCTACAATCTCCACAAGATAAGCATGGAATATGCTTCCTGGCCTTCATCTGCCACACTGCTCCCTCAGGCCTTTCCCCCCCCCCTTCTTATGGCAACTCGGGAACAAGCATAGGAATGATTTATGAGTTGACACCCAGCATACTGTGGCCCATGAGGTCCCAAAGAGTCAGACAGAACTTAGCAACTGAACAACGACAAAAACCAAGGGTTCTCTCTGATTGGTACCTTAGCAGTGATCTCATCCAAAACTTTAGATATTTCTGAATTTCCGAGAGCAACTAGATATATGAGACGGAACTGCCAAGCACCTGTTAATTCCTTCTGGATCCATAGGACAAACTGGTTAATTCCTTCTGGATCCATAGTACATTTTAAAGGGCCCACTGCCCATGCAGAGGTCTAGGGCATTCATCTGCAATTTCACCAGGAGGTGCCCTGATGATGGCTGATGTTAATATTCTGCATCTTCAGATCACATCACCTGCTCCAAAGTGAAGACTAGAGCTAATTTTTGACCAACTATCTGTGTTAGGGCTACAATTACAAGCCAAGGACATATGAATGCCAAGAAGACCATAAACTGACCAAACATCTCTCTTAGAGCCTGGAAACTGAAGACACCAAAAGCCTTTGGAACTTCAACACCACCCCTGGTGTGATCCCAAAATGGTATGTCAGACCGCAAGCTGCTTATTTTGTTTCACAAAACCAATTCTGCCAATGGTTGTACAACTTCCCTGTTTCTGCAGACACAGTTCTTTTTCTTGGAAATGCTAGGCTCCACAAATTTATTATTTGGAGTTTCAGACATTATTTGGAAGGTTCATTGGGGAGGCTGAATGCTATGTGCAAAATAGCATACTTACATAGTGAGAGGTCCTTCAGTTCTGGAAGACTAGCAGAGGCACACAGCTGATAGAAAATGTGATAGTTTCGTTCATCAGCGGCCTGAGAAAGAACATTAATTTATTTGCGGAGAAATGAGCTACAAATTAATGAAATAATCATTCAGCATGTCCTTTTGCTGTTCTCTAAATCAGGGGTCCCCAATCTGTGGGCTGCGGCCTATTTGCAACTGGGCAATGTGAGTGGCTGGATGCAGGGGTGGGCTCCTGCGGGTTTGGACGATTCTCTAGCTAAGATTCTGCGCAGTTCGGTGAAATCGCAAATCCCACCGCTGGCTGGCCCCTCCCACCTGGCCCTGCCCCTCTAACCCAACCCTGCCCTTCCCAGGAGTCTCCACGCAGTCCATTTTGGGTGCCAGGTAAGTGCAGGGCCCACGCGGAGGCTTGGGGAGGGTGAAAAACGGGCCTCCGGGAGGCTCTGAAAGGCCGGAAACGGGCCCATTTCTGGCCTCCAGGGGGCCTCCAGAGACCAGGGGAGGCCGTTTTTACCCTCCCAGAAGTTCAAGGAAAGCCTCCGGAGCCTTTGGAGCGTGAAAAATGGGCCTTCCAAAAGTTCCGGAAGGCTGGAAACAGGCCCGTTTCCGGCCTCCGGAGGTCAGGGAGGCCGTTTTTGCCCTTCTGGAGGTTCAAGGAAAGCCTCTGGAGCCCAGAGTGGGTGAAAATACCCCCCCCGCCCCCCGTGATGCAGGATGCTGACTAGGCCACCCTTACCATGGCCATGCCCACCCAGCAACCGGGCAGAGAACCGGTTGCTGAAATTTTTGAAGCCCACCCCTGGCTGGCTGGTTCACTTGCATGCACATGCACAGCTCTACTTGCGTGAACATCACAGGGGCTCACGGACCCACTTACACAAGTATCAGAGGCACTCGGGGCCCCACTGACACAGGTGCTCTCGACCCACTTGTGTGAGTAGTCGCGTACATGCACCTGCCCTTCCCACAAAACCATCCCCTCTTTCTCCCATTCCCCCTAGGCCACCAACCCCCCAAAAGTTAGGGAACTGTGCCCTAGATTTATTCAAACTCAAATTTCACACACATTTCTTCAAGGTAAAAATGGATTTTTTTTAAAAAAAAATTATCTGCAATTACCGTATTTATCGGCGTATAACACGCACAGGCGTATAACATGCATTCCCTTTAATATGCGGCGGGCGCAGCGTCACGACGCTGCGCCGCCGCTAGGCACTATTGGGAACGGGACATCGGCGTATAACACGCATACATCATTTGCCCCCTATTTTCAGGGGGAAAAAGTGCGTGTTATACGCCGATAAATACGGTAGTTTTAATTTAGTTACACTAGGAGACTAATATTAAATGGAGGACAAACGAACTGGAATTTTTCTGATTACTGTTATGAAAGAATGAGAAAGTCCAAAACCACCATCCTTAAAATGCATGAGGGATTATCTTTATTTTATATTAAAGGAATTGAGGGTGGAAAGGAGCCTCTTTCAAATGAAGCTTTTACAGATTGTATACCAAATATAGCCTACAGTCCTGGGATTTTCTAGAGGTTTCCTATCCATCAGCTAGCTAGAACTGATCCTGCTTAAGTTTCTGACTCAATGTGTCTCTTCTAATTAGGATCTAAATGGAGGTGTTATGTATGTAACCTTAATCTCAAACGGACAAAGGAGAGATTATAGAGGAATGAAAATACAACACAATGCTCAAACATTGGTCCATCGTTACAAATTACATGTAGTCCTTGACTTACGACCACAATTGAGCCCAAAATTTTCCTTGCTAAGCAAGACAGTTGTTAAGTGAGTTTTGGGCCATTTTCCTACCTTTCTTGCCGCAACGGTGCTTTTCAAAAACTGGACTTTCTTGCGTTTTTTTTTTTTTCTTAAAATATTTCACTTCTCATCCAAGAAGCTTCTTCAGTTCTGACTGAAGAACTGGCATTCTTCAGAACCAAAGAAGCTTCTTGGATGAGAAGCGAAATGTTTTCAAGGAAGAAAACAAAGTCCAGCTGCACGGATGGGACCCTACTGGTATAACAACTGTTTTGGCGAGCATGTGCTCACTGAACCAGTTGTTGGTGTGCAAATTTGTTGTCCAAATTTTGTTCAGGTGACCATGGAGATGCTGCAACACTTGTTAAGTGCAAAAAAAGATCATTGTTTTCAGTGCTGTTGTGTAACTTCAAACGATCATGAAATTAATGGTTGTTAAGTCAAGGACTATGTATACTCAGCCGACTCAGATTTAAGTTTTAGTTATAGCTGATTGTGAGGCTACCCAAATCCTGCCAAGATTTTCATTCCTAAGGTGGATCTTGTAGATTCTAAATCACGGTTCTCAATGTCCATCATCATCTTTTAATGACACCATAATCCCTTGCACGGTGGAGTCTGGCCAACTGAATGGAGCTGAGTGTTTACTGGCCGTATTCCCTTCCTGTCACCAATGCGGAGTTTTTTTCAACAGATATGCTCTCAGTGCGCGCAGAGAAATATGTGCCTCTACCTAGGATCGAACTCACAGCCTTCTGATTGTGAGGCAAAAGCTCCACCTCTAGACCATCGCACTACTCCTGAATGTCGATGTAGCCATTGAATCATAGGCTAGTAAGTTTCCTTTCAATTGGAACGAGTACATCTGCCACATCATTCAAAGTAGAGAAGATTCAAATAAAACTAGACGCCTTCTCAGCATCTTGCTGACTTTTTCCATGTGAAACCACTCCTTGGAGAGTTATTCATATGAAATATCTTTAAAGAATGGCTCCTGCATATCCTATCTCAGATAGCTAAGGATTGTTGAGATGCCTTATTCATATTTCAGGTCACTTATACTTCAGAGGGCTCACAAAACAAACTAAAAGCAAAGCAAAACAAAAGGAGAAATGTTTCCCCTTTTGCATTCGAGCATGCAAGAAGGGACAGGAAAGGAGAAAGGGAAAGAGGAAAGACAAAGAAAAGGAAGGAAAGAGGGGAAGGAAGAGGGAAGGAGAATGAAGAGGGAAGGAAAAAGAAGGAAGGAAGGAAGGAAGGAAGGAAGGAAGGAAGGAAGGAAGGAAGGAAGGAAGGAAGGAAGGAAATTATAGTGAGAGTGAAGGAGGGTCTGAGGCAGAGGTGGTATTCAGCAGGTTCTGACCAGTTCTGGAGAACCAATAGCAGAAATTTTGAGTAGTTCAGAGAACTGACAAATACTATCTCTGACTGGAGATTTTATAGTATCCTTCCCCTGCCACGGCCACCAAGCCACGCCCGCAGAACCGGTAGTAAAATATTTGAATCCTGCCACTGGTCTGAGGGAAGTCCTGGCGTAGTACTTGGCCACCACAGGCGCCCCGACACGAGTGATGTCAAGCTGGCCACACCCTCACTGGCCGCGCCCTCACTGGCTGTGCCCTCCTTGGCCACGCCGTCACTGGCCATGCTCACCCTGGTCTCCCATGGTCAAACATAGCTCTGATGCGGCCCTCAATGAAATCGAGTTTGACACCCCTGCTCTAATCTAACCCTCTTCCCTATCCAGGTTTATAGAACCACAGTGCACATATTCAATTCTTCCTGAGCATTTATCGGGGGAGGGGTGATCACATGATCCCAGGAGGGGTGATCACATGTCCCCAGGGGTGTGGGTTCTTCCTCCTCCAGGCTATTGCATGGTTGGCACTGTTTTTTTAATCACGGGAAGAATATATCACGTTATTAGTTGTATACCATTACAGAAGCACCTGCAACCAAATAACGGGTCTGCCGTTTCTACATATTCCTACAAATACTCCTACAATTCTTCATTTAGCTACTTCTGTCAGATAAGTCAATCAAATGTGCCCGGTTTCTTTTTCAAATGTAATGGCAGTTGGATACTAGTGGAGATGAATTAACTAAGGCAAATACTTTGTTTTCTAAGTATAAAAGCAAATGACGCTAATTCTTAGAATTCCTTAAAAATGAAACACCTCCATTTTCACCATACTTCATCATAGGGCATGACGGGAGGGGCATTCGATTCACAAAACTCTACAACAGATTAGACACAGAGTAGTCCCATCTATTGTAATTAATATTGTAACACAGCATTATATTTTACAGGATTTGTAATAATTGGGATGAGCACCATTCTGGACCGAAGCTATCATACAGTTCTTGTTCGATCGTCAGATCAAAAAGAACAAAATTTAGATAGATAGATAGTTAGATAGATAGAGTTAGATAGAGAGAGGGGGGGTGGGAAGTATGATAGATGGATGGATGGATAGATGGATGGATGGACAGATGATGGATGGATAGATGATATAGTTAGATATATATAGATATATGCACACACACATATATGTACAAAATAAAATATCATATATAAATAATAAATTGATAAATAAATAAATGATAAATAAGCTAACCTGGAATACAACTCTTGATTTCTCAAGCAGGTACGTCCTCATGTTGGCACCAATGATACGGTATCTTTTATCAAAGCCAATCTGAATGTATTTCCCAAAACGGCTGCTGTTGTCATTCCGGGTTGTTTTTGCATTACCAATTGCCTTTATGAAATTAATAAAAGGTTTAAAATATAATATATTTTTTCCATCAATATTCATTCATCTCACAGGTGCACTTCATTGATTAATTGCATATAACTAAAAAAAAAAAACATTAAGAGAAAGACCGAGAGATTGAAAGATGGAGAGAGCACCATTGCTTGAAGATTAAGTGCTACACTCTTTAACTAGATCATAAAATATCTATTAGATTTATCTCCTCTACCTGTGAAACCAGCAATGATTGACTTTACAAACTTGTTTTAGAGGGTAAACGATGAAGACGGCAGCAAAGTAATTATGATAAGATTTTGTTATCATATTTAATTAACAGTCTAGATTCTCTAGATCAGTATTTCCCAAACTTGGCCTTTTAAAATGGGTTAGGGTTAGGGTTAGGCCGTGGTGTGAATCCAGCCACTGTTGTTGGCAGAGATCATGGTTTGCGGTGTATTATCGTATATGGATCCAAGCAACTGTGTTTTATTCAAACAATCCTGATTAACCATAATTAGTCTATAGTATTTACTTTCTATGAGAAATCAATGGAAGCTTGCACTGATTGTTTTAGTTCTGGATATAGCTTTACTGATTAATTATAAAATATCTTTTTACTACATGCAAAGTTGGGACAAAGCCACATATTTGTGTCTTAATAGCTGAGAATTTGAGCTAAACTGATTACAGTAAAGCAATTGAAATGAACTGTGCTTCCAAAGGTATTAGCGAAACTGTGCTTAGCAACCATGCCTGTTAAGTGGCAAACAGCTTACATAAGAACAGAACCTATTATACTAGCCAGAACTAAAATTAATAACAACAACAAACTGGCATAAAAAATAGTGTCTTATCAAGAATTTACAACTCTGGATCTTAAGTTAAGCTTTAATGAAGGCATGGATTCTGGTTTTAAAAGTTGATTAAAAGCAAAAATAATAATAATACATTCGTGCCAATAATCTTCTGCTCATATTTCTATCTTATTGGAGTTTTTGAAATAGGAACAGATTTTTTAATGTAGTGTCCACAGGCACTGGTGGTAATAAAATTCCTTTGAAAGAATATTAGAAAAGCGGGAGCAAAGCTATTAAATTCTCAAAATATAAATATGCTAGATAGGTTTTTCTTTTTTTAAGTGCAGTTCCTTCATAGGAAAAGTCCCCAGTGATTGCTGCACTTAAATTAAGCACAACACACTTTTAATCAGCCCCTCTTATTAAGTTTTCATTCAAAACACACCTCTCATAGTGTAGGTGGGTCAATTGTTGTCAAATGTTGGTTGCTTTCACATGGAAAACTGAGCCATAATTTGTTTTGGCATTTGTCTGAAAATGTCTTATTTGGGTGCAAAGCTTAGGATCCAGCCACTATCTTTTTCCTTGTGAATAAAACCTTCAAATATTAAAATTCAAGGAAAGAATTTGAGGTAACCCCCGTCCTCCAATTGTCACTTATATCAATAGGAGAGAATATTTGTAGCTGAGCGTTCAATTGTGGGGTCTTTGCTGCCTTCTGAACTTAATGGTTTTCTTGCTGACATTTCATTATTGACTAGATAACATCATCAGTGGTATAAGGAAGTGGGGTTTGCTCTCTGTTCATATACGGCTGGCTTGCCTTGTCAGTGTTGGAGATTGTCCTTGGTGGTTCCTTGATTAGGGTGTTTTTACTGGTAGTTTGTTTGTCTGAGTTGGAAATTCCTTGATTAGGGTATTGTTTACTGCTTGATTGCTAGCCTAGTATTAAAATGGTGTTAATCCCTGGTATTATCTGGGTGTTCATTGCTGGTGAGGTCTTTGGGCTGGGGGGAGGTTGCTTCCTTTTTGGCTTTTTGATTATCTCTTTTGAATGGCACGTAGATGTTGTTTATCTCTATGTGTCTGTTGATGGCTGGTTTGTCTGAATGCCAGCTTCCAGAAATTCTCTACTCTTTTTTGGTCCTTGCTTGGTCTAGGATGCTCACAGTTTCCCAATTGAAACCGTGGTTAAATCTGTCCATGTGTTTTAAAACTAAGGCATTTTCATCATGTCTCCTGACTGCTAGTTAGTGTGCAGCTAAGTATCATGGTGGTTATACTCCAGACTGAGTTAATAATCCACCAATTCAAGGACAACCAGCTATTTTGAATACTATTTTCTAGGGGAAATTGAGACTCAGGGCAGAATCTTATGCAGGACTTCAGATCTGAAAGCAAAATACAGGTGAAACTCGAAAAATTAGAATATTGTGCAAAAATTCGTTTATTTCAGTAAAGCAACTTAAAAGGTGAAACTAATATATGAGATAGACTCATTACATGCAAAGCAAGATAGTTCAAGCCGTGATTTGTCATAATTGTGATGATGATGGCTTACAGCTCATGAAAACCCCAAATCCACAATCTCAGAAAATTAGAATATTATATGCAATCAATAAAACAAGGATTGTACATAGAACAATATCGAACCTCTGAAAAGTATAAGCATGCATATGTATTCAGTACTTGGTTTGGGCCCCTTTTGCAGCAATTACTGCCTCAATGCGGCGTGGCATGGAAGCTATCAGCCTGTGGCACTGCTGAGGTGTTATGGAAGACCAGGATGCTTCAATAGCGGCCTTCAGCTCTTCTGCATTGTTCGGTCTCATGTCTCTCATCTTTCTCTTGGCAATGCCCCATAGATTCTCTATGGGGTTCAGGTCAGGCGAGTTTACTGGCCAATCAAGCACAGTAATCATGGAACCAGGGTTTGGTGCTTTTGACAGTGTGGGCAGGTGCCAAGTCCTGCTGGAAAATAAAGTCAGAATCCCCATAAAGCTTGTTTGCAGAAGGAAGCATGAAGTCATCCAAAATCCCCTGGTAGACAGCTGCGGTGACCCTGGACTTAATGAAGCACAGTGGACCAACACCAGCAGATGACATGGCTCCCCAAATCAACAGACTGTGGAAACTTCACACTGGACTTCAAGCATCTTGCAGTGTGTGCCCCTCCATTCTTCCTCCAGACTCTGGGTCCTTGGTTTCCAAATGAGATGCAAAAGTTGTTCTCATCAAAAAAGAGGACTTTGGACCACTGAGCAACAGACGAGTTCTGTTTTTCTTTAGCCCAGGTAAGACGCCTCTGACGTTGTTTGTTGTTCAGGAGCGGCTTGACAAGAGGAATTCGACATTTGAAGCCCATGTCCAGGATCCGTCTGTGTGTGGTGGATGCAGTGACTCTAACCTCAGTCCACTCCTTGTGAAAGTCCCCAACACTTTTGAATGGCCTTTTCCTGACAATCCTCTCCAGGCTGCGGTCATCCCTGCTGCTTGTGCACCATTTTCTTCCACACTGTTCCCTTCCACATAACTTTCTAGTAATGTGCTTTGATACAGCACTTTGGGAACATCCAACTTCTTTTGCAATTACCTTTTGAGGCTTTCCCTCCTTATGGAGGGTGTCAGTGGTGGTTTTCTGCACAACTGTCAGGTCAGCAGTCTTTCCCATGACTGTGATTCCGGCTGAACCAGACTGAGAGACCATTTAAAGGCTCAGGAACCCTTTTTGCAGGTGTTATGGCTTAATTCGCTGATTAGAGTGGGACACTTTGAGCCTAGAATATTGAACCTTTTCACAATATTCTAATTTTCTGAGATTGTGGATTTGGGGTTTTCATGAGCTGTAAGACATAATCATCTCAATTATGACACATCACGGCTTGAATTATCTTGCTTTGCATGTAATGAGTCTATCTCATATGTTAGGTTCACCTTTTAAGTTGCATCTCTGAAATAAATGAACTTTTGCATGATATTCTAATTTTTCGGTTTCACCTGCAGTATTTTGGGAACTCCTGCACCCCACTCTGTGTAATTTCCTTAAAGCAGCTGCATCTCTTCTGAGAATGACACAACTATCCAACAAGCCAAAGCTCACCTTTTAGGAAAAAAGTATTACGTTTAAGGAGTGCTATATATAGGTAGTCCTCAACTTATGACTACAATTGAGCCCAACGTTTCTGTTGCTAAGTGAGACAGCTGTTAAGTGAGTTTTCCCCATTTTATGTCCTTTCTTGCCACAGTTATTAAGTGAATCACTGAAGTTGTTAAGTTAGTAACAGAGGTTGGTTTTTTTTGCGGGGGGGGGCAAGACTCAGACTACTTGATGTGGAATAAATTCTACGACTGGTTAAAGACAAAAGGGTAGAAGTTAGAGAAAGAAAACAATGAATGCTTTTATTAAAAACAGAGATGGTGTATAACTACAATATTATATGATATTATAAGTATCCTTATTAGAAAAAGGGACAATATTTTTAATAGTACTGGCTATGGTTCTTATTCACTGTAAAATAACAGACTCGGACAAAACGCTGTATTCAAAAATGTTTATGTATATAAAGAAATTAAAATAGTAAAAAAAAGTTAGTAACACAGTTATTAAGTGAATCTGACTTTCCCATTGAACTTTGCTTGTCAGAAGGTTGCAAAAAGTGATCACGTGACCCTGGGACACTGCAATTGTCATAAATATGAGCCAGTTGCCAAGCATCCAAATTGTCATGCCCCTGTTGGAATCTGACTCGGAAGAAGAAGCCGAACAGCTGACAGGGAGTGGGAGTGTGGCTCTGTTGCCTGTGGAAGAAACTGGGGAATGGCAAAGTCCGGCTGGGCAGAGCAGGAAAGCGGTAGAACAAAGGAGAGAGAATTCAGGGGAAGACCCAGGCCACCTCCTCTTCATCCTAGGAGATGGGAGGAACAGAGAAGGGAGCAATGTGAGTTGCGTGGCTTACGGAGGAGGAAAGGGCTCTGATTCCCTTCATTAGCTGCAGCTGGGAGCAGTGTATAAAAGAGGAAGCCGCGCACAGCAAGCTGTTGGGAGAAACGTGAATTATCTTGTATCGTCGAAGCTTATTTGTGTTCTTGGCGTCTTCCCAACTGTGTGAGTTTTGCCATGCTTTCAAGTCTGAACTTCCTTCTCCCGCCTTGTCAAGCTAATAACTTCAGCATGGTTTGTTTTGGATTTTTAGTTACAGTTTGTATGTACCTGGTTTTGGACTGAATTTTCTACAGTTAAAAGCTGTTCCTGGGAGAGTTTTTCTCCAATGGAAGGTAACTTAGACATTGGGGGCAAAGCTGGAGATAATAAAGGGACTCTTATTGCTTGTTTGACTGTGTTGCTTTGTGCCACGCCACAGGTCATCACACAAATTTTGATCCTGAGACCATGGGGATGCTGTATCAGTGGTGTGAAAAATGGTCATAAGTCACTTTTTACAGCGGTGTTGCAACTTTGAACCATCAATAAATGAACCGTTGTAAGCCGAGGATTACCATTACCTCATTATCTCTTTTTTGCCTTGGAATTGAAAGGGCCCAAATGTATATAAAAGGACAGACACTACTCAAATGCTGACCTTCCAAATTTTCTAAGACTTTCACGCTCATCCCCTTTGAATAGCAGGACGGGGAGTGTTTTGGCAGCTTTTCCAAAGAGAGAAAAAAATATGTTTTCTTTCTGAGAAAGCTTTCTGATGTGCCTCTTGGTGCTGCGGCTGCAGCTTACGCAGCTACAATTAAGGACTGGCCTGCAGAGTTCATTATGATCGCCCAAAGGTTTTAATTCCTGCCTCAAAATCAAGCTCTGGTAAAGAAATAAAATGAAATGATGATGATACTCATCATTGAGCATTAGTGTCGTGTTGGCCTTGTTGGCTCACATCACCGTTTAATTTTAATTGATTGGCTGCACTGATGCATATGGTGAGGTGCCTTTGCACATCTGTGGCATGTGTTTTAGAAATTGCATGAGTCAGCACAGCCAAATAACAGGAAGAGCAAGCAACATAAAAACTGGCCCCGAGACAGAAAACATTGGCAAAGAGGGACGAAAACTCTCAAAAACCTACTACCGTGTTTTTCACAAAATAAGGCCGGGCCTTATTTTTTTTTTGAGCCCCCCAAAAACGGCTAGGATGTCTTTTCGGGGGTGAATTAATTCCCCCCCCCATGCACCAGCGCCCTCTCCAATGATAGCGTATTAGTCGCTCCCGCTTTCCCCCCATCCCTGTAACAATAGGAAAAAAAAAAACATTTTGAGGTACCTGGGAGCTCCACGTGCTGCGTTTTGGTTTAATCCCGAGCGGCTGGGTGGGCGTGAGAAGAGCCGAGTGAGCGTCTCTGCTGCTGCTACCCTTGGTGCTCCAGCCTTGAGCTCTGTGCAGCCCGTTCCTGCATTCCAAGCGCCCAGGCCGAGCTGCAGCTGTCCCTCTCTCGCCAGTGCTGTCTCCAATAACAGCGGCAGCAGCGGTGGGAACCGTGGAAGCATTTCAGCCACTTCTTGGGTGGGGGAGCCGCCTCCGTAACTTTCACAGTTCCCGCCGCTGCTTCCGCTGTTATTGGAGATGGCGCTGGCAAGAGAGGGACAGCTGCAGCTCGGCCTGGGCGCTTGGAATGCAGGAACGGGCTGTGCACCGGGACTTTTGCAAACTTGCAGAGCCCGAGGCTGGAGCACCAAGGGTAGCAGCAGCAGAGACGCTCACTCGGCTCTTCTCACGCCCACCCAGCCGCTCGGGATTAAACCAAAACGCAGCGTGCGATGCTCCCAGGTACCTCAAAAAAAATTTTTTTTTCCTATTGTTACGGGGATGGGGGAAAAGCAGTAGCGACTAATACGCTGTTGTTGGAGACAGCACTGGCGAGAGAGGCGCCAGCACCAGTGGGAACCATGGAAGCTACGGAGGCTTGAGAAGCAGCTGAAATGCTGCCGGACATCCACGCCAACGCTGCCCACCTGCTGACCCGGCTAAGGGAGGGGTAAGGGAGCCCTCCATGCTCCACCATGGTGTTAGGAGCGGCTGATGGTGAGGCGTAGCTGCCCGCGGGGCACTCCTAATGGCAAGTTCCCCCCCTGGCCTTCCCCCCCCCCAATTTCGCATGTTTTAAACTAGGCCTAAATTTGGGGGGAGGGGCTTAATTTCATTTTATGCCTAGAAAACATGCTGGGTCTTCCTATGGGGGGAGCGTATTGTTGGAGATACACGATAGGACAGTGATGGTGAACCTGTTCAGCACAGGCAAAAGAAGAAGGGAACGACAGAAGAGGAGATGGCTAGATAGTATCATTAACACAATGAACAAGGATTAGGGCAAATTCCAGGAGATAATAGATGACATGCTATAGCCCATGGGGTCACAAAGAAACAGACATCACTTAGTGACTAAACAACATGACTCAATATTTCCAGGGTGACGCAAATGTTCTCCTTTGCATTATACAAAAACAACGCAATCTCCCCACACCAGCACCATCAAAGATCTTACCTCCATGATAGGACTGGAAGCCAGGACCTTCTCTTCAATATTGGATTCGCTGGAGGAGCCTCCCACTGATGCAAAGAACCGCATGGCGTATTTGGCTGAGACTGTTTTGCCCGCTCCGGATTCCCCACTAACGATAATGGACTGGTTCTTCTCATCCCTAAACAAAGAAGGAGAAAGAGGAGGGGAAAGCGAATCAATATTTCTGTCAGCGTTCCAGAAAACTTCCACTCCAACAAATAACTCTGTGATGATCCAGGGTGGGATACAAAAGCAACAAAGTCACAACAACTGGTGAAGTCCCTTTAATTCCTTCAACTTGGCTTCAAAGGTCCAATTATCATTGACTGGAGAAAAAACTCCCCCACAAACAGTTGCGAAAAGGAAGAACTTCTGTTCAAACTCACAATACATATAAATTATAAAAAAAAAAAAAGACAAACCACACTGAAACAATTAATGAGACAAGGCAGGATAAGGGCTTGAAGACATCCACAGATATCGAAATACACACACTGGGAAGGACGCCAGAACTCAGATGACAACTGAAAGACTAGAAAGATTTTAATGCTTTGCTTCCAGCACTGGCCCATGCACAGTTTGTCCTTTTAAACAGTCCTCACAGCTGCAGCCCATGAAGGGGATCAAGGCCCTTTCCTCCCATGTCGACCATGCCATTCATGTTTCTCCCTTATCCACTCTTCCCTGCGTGCCCTAGGATGAAGAGGGGATGGGCCTGGGTCTTCCTCTGAATGCCCAGCCTGTCTGTGCCCTTCCCCAGTTTCCTCCACAACCGCCGGAGCACACTCCCATTCCCTGTCAGCTGTTCCTCCTCTCCCTCAAGAGTCAGATTCTAACAGGGGCATGACAAACTCCGAGACGACAACCTCTCAAAAGTTTTATTGAGATAGTAAACTGGCACATCTGGGGAAACCCAAATCTGAAAGTTCCGGGTTTCTTTGCAGTAAGTAAAAACTACAAATCCACCCCCTGCACCCATCATCGCATCACATGCCCCAATCACCATTTATCCCAACTTGAGACTTCTCTTCACCCAGGTGCAGAAATAACATGACCTTGACTTAGAAGAAGAATGCTACTGTGTCTAATCACAAACACTCCAAGAACTTCCCCCCTCCCATTTTCCCAGACTCAAGAATGTGGCAGCGTGGAAGCATCTGGTTTTAATATGGCTTTCAAAGATGACAATTTCTCTCTATTCTTGCCAACTCTGCCATTACTCCTTCATATGGCTTAGTCTTCTTTTTGGGAATGGAATAGCACAATTTGACTTGGTGCAGGTTCGATTCCTCCCCTTCTAAGAACTTCTTGCTTGTTTAAAAATCATCGACTGGAAAGGTAGTTTGGTCTAGTGGTTAAGGCACCTAATTAGAAAGCAGGAGACCATGAGTTCTAGTCCTGCCTGAGGCATAAAAGCTGCCTGGGTGTCTTTGGGCTGATCACAGTGAGATTTTGAATTCTAGTCCTGCCTTAGCCATGAAAACCAATTGAGTGACTTTGAGCCAATCACTCTTTCTTGGTTCAATTCACCTCACAGGGCTGTTGTACAGAAAATTGGAAGAAGAAGGTGCGCTGGGTATGTTTGATGCCTTGAATTATTTGTAATATAATAAAGGCAGATACATATAAGTAAATAAATAAATTGTTGCTTTAGAACAGGGGTCAGCAACCTTCAACACTCAAAGAGCCATTTGGACCAGTTTCCTCACAGAAGAGAAAATACCAGGAGCCACAAAACCCTTCCTGTGCCTGACTATTTCCTGAGCGGCCACAAAACTAGCGTATGTAGTTGAATTAAACATCCTGTTTTCTTCTGAAACTTTTATTTTCTTGGTTTTGTCCATGGTTGGCCTACTGGGGGTCGAAAAGCTCCTATAAATCGCGTGCCAGCCAGTGTTGCACATTGATGATTGTAACACATATTTTGAGTGACAGGGAGCTGGCAGCAGAGGGATGAAAGAGCCACATGAGGCTCCAGAGCTGTGGGTTGCCGATCCCTACTTTAGAACATGGATGTCAAACCTTACAGACCCCTCACATCCCAGACATAAACTGTTTCAACTCCTACCCTCAAAACGACGTTATAAAGCACTGCACACCAGAACAACTAGACACAAGGCCATTTTTTCTCCTGAACGCTATCACTCTGCTAATCTCAACACTGCCCAACTATTGTCCCTCAACACTGTCCAACTATTTACAAAGCCTGCACTACTATTATTATTAATCTTATCATCACTCCTTATCACATCCCCTCCTACTTGTGACTGTTTGACTGTAACTTTGTTGCTTATATCCTTACAATTTATATGGACTGTTTCCTTGTATGATTTGATTGCTTATTGTACTCTATAACTATTATTAAGTGTTCTACCTCATGATTCTTGACTCTTGATGAATGTATCTTTCCTTTTATGTGCACTGAGAGCATTTACACCAAGACAAATTCCTTATGTGTCCAATCACACTTGGCCAATAAAGAATTCTATTCTATTCTATTCTATTCTATTCTATTCTATTCTATTCTATTCTATTCTATTCTATTCTATTCTATTCTATTCT